GGCCATATAGTAAAGGTGGGTTTTTTTGCTGGTAAACTTATAATTTCTTCTCTTTTCTTTGCCAACTCTAGAAAGTGGGATAAGATGCCTTCTTTTTCTGTAAATTAGCCTTGTGGTCCAAGTGTCCAGTAAAGTTCTCTGAACCAAGTGGGCATTTGATACATATTTGATCAAAAAAGCAAATACCTCCAAATGCTGTTTTGTTATCCTTCCTAAAGCTGTGCACATTAATGTAGCATTTTTCAAATCATATTAATAGGTATTTTATGAACATTTTAAAAGATAATGCCTGTGGTTCCATTAATTTTTTTTTTAAGCTGGGTTAAATAAGTTCCTTTTTACTTCAGGACTTCTCAGAGCCTTTAATGTACCAGTGAGTCTGTTGAATGTCCAAGAAAGGGATTCAAATGTATTTTCCAAGTATATGTGACCACAGAACACCATTTCCACATTTTTATGGTCTCTAAAGTACTGTTCAAACAATTAGTTCAAACCTTGGGCAAGAATCAGAAGAAGATATCAATTTGCCTGCTCATTGATTTGTCTGAATTAGACCAAAGAAGGAGCCTCAACTAGAAATAGGGCTATTGATTACTTGACTGCAACCATGTTTCTGAAATTTAGTAGAAATACTCTTGTGGTTAAATCTCAAATAGAGACACACTGGGTACTTTTTCTACAGCTCCCCAAGGTGTTATAAAATTAAAGAGACTGAGGTCATTTCTGGTAAGCCTTCCCTGCTCCTATGTGAGCTTGGAAACTACCCTCTGAATAAAGCATCTAAATAAACCTGGGCTGGAAGGAGGGTGTAGCTTAGTGCCGGGACCAGATAAAGTAACCACTGGCTGGGAGCTTCATTAAGAAGAAGAGAATTTAAAGAGCCACAAGACAGGGACTAAAGGAAGAGAGAGAAAGCTTGCTATGGGGAAAGAGAGAGAAGAGAAATGAGAATATAAAAGAGGGGGTAAACTTGTTAAACATGCACTATACTCTTGTATGGAGTTATCACAGTAAAATATACTTGTATTATTCATATATGTTAAATTGAAAAACTTAAAACTAAAAAAAAATAAATAAATAACAGAAGCAAGCTGGAGGAGTGACTTGAGTGGGAGAGTTCCTGCCTAGCAAGCATGAAGACCCAAGTTCAAACCCCACTACTGCTGGAAAAAAATAAAAAGAAAAGAAAAAACCCAGAAGGCAATAACAACAAGAGAGAACACTTCTCATGTTCAGCTCGTCAACAAGATGGCTTATTCGTTTTTCCTGGATATTTATTTTCCTTTTAAAAGAAACAAAAATCAAAATAACAAAGTCTTACTATGTAACCCAGGCTGGCCTCAAACTTGTGATCCTGCTGCCTCTGCCTCCCAAATGCTGCGATTTAGTCGTGGGCCACACACATCGCTCTCCTGCATATTCCTAAAATTGACTTTTTAATGCTTATCACGGCCTTTTCTCTCTTTTGCATGAATCTTATCTGTTTTTTGTCTCAGCCTTCCTGAAATTTAGAACAGTAGTGTTCTAGAGCATCAGTGTCTGGGATGTATCACAAGTCACCTATGAGCTGAAATAAACCATGTAGCCAGATGTGTGGTATGTGCCTGCAATCCCAGCACTCAGGAAGCTGAGGTAGGAAGACCCAGTGTTTGAGACCAGCCTGGGCTACATAGTGAGACCCTATTTCAAAAAACAAAAAACAAGAAATACCCCCCAAAACAAAGAAAGCAACCAAACAAAACCTCCACATGCAAATGTAAGTTCCCATAAAATAGAATGGATTCGAGATTACCCTATGAAAAGTCTTTTTTACCTACTTCTTTTAGAGCTCTTCTTTGATGAAAAAGAAACATTCTGATTGCAGACATTATTATGGTGCTTATGGTTTTATACCTCCATTTTCACTTTCCTTTTTGATAAAATTGATTTTGAGCTAGAAAGATTTCCATTTGTCATAACACAACAGTGATGATTACCTGATGAATGGCCGCCAAAGTGCTGCAAGAGAAGTGTTCAGTAATGGTATTGTGGTGGAAAAAAGTAATTGGGTTAATTATTTGCGTTCCTCAGCAGTCCACACTCGATCCTCTTGTAGTGTCATCTATATTTTCTAAAGAGTGGGAGGATGAAAAATGAGTCATTTGCAAAGAAGAAATGTGATATTTTCAAAAGTATGGTATCTCTATTTTTATAATTGTCACAAAGTTGATCGTTTTATAATCCCTTATTAGAAATCTTTCTTAATATATTCCCATCTCCAAAAATGGTTGTGCCGTACCAGTTGTTAATTTCAACAGAGTCTGTGTGACACATGTGTCACTTGGGGGAAGTTCACCTGCACATGCAATCACAGTCAACTTGATGCTGAGAGGGGCTTCCTCGGGTTTCACTACTGATGGGTGGGTGGCTTGTCTTGAGCCTTCATGGTAGCAATGGGCTTTTACCGTCCGATTAGGAGACCAGGTTTGGATACATGCTGGGACAGTCGTGGAAAGGTTGATCCTGCGCTTGTTGGCGGAGTGGTTCTTAGTATGGTGTGGCTCTTGAGTCACCTGTGCAGCAAGGTGGAGGGCAAGCTGGCTGCACTTGAGGCTCAGATTGCTACAGTTTGATTTCCAATTCTTCTACCACTGGTCAGCTTGCTGATCCTGCCTGTACCTCAGTTCCCACAGCTGTAAAATAGAGGTGTGCACTACTTGGCATCATGTCTGACACACAGTAAGGACTAACATGTTAGGTGTAGAGCTAACAAACATCATGGGACAGCAGATGACAGAGCGGGTAGGCAAAGACAAACCAGAGGAATGGGAATCTGTTTCCCCAGTGCATGTGGCCTCACTGCCAGGTTAGACATCTCTGTGCTGGATGATCCCTCTGGCTTAAATTTGCATTCAGTGCTGGGCTTCACTGACAGGTCACCCATTGAGATGGACAGACTTTATTCCTAAAGTCTGAAATAAGCTGCACCTTGCTGTTTATGGATTTTTCTTTTTCTGTTCATTCAGACAGTATTTGGGGTGCCACTGTGTACAAAATACATGGAGGAGAGTGGGATATAAGGACAAGCTTGTCATGCTCCAGTCTCCTCTAGGAAGCAGCCTGGGGGAGGGGAGAAGGACTGGCATCTGTGGCCACGATGTGGGGGCAGTAATGTCATTGCAGTCCCTCTGACTGGCTTGGCTGGGGGGTAGAATGAGTGTAAGGGATGGAGAACTGATTCTGTCCACCCTCAAAGTGCACATACACCTCATCCCCAAGGTCAGGGTCAGTCTTATCCCTGGGGATGCTGTGGAGTGGCTCTGCACAGAGGGGTAGCTGATGGAGGGGAAGATAAAGATATGTGTGTTAGAGTGACAGTGGTAAGGGACAGGCCACAGAAGGCTGTAATCAAAGCTGCCATGTGGTGAGGTTTGGGTCAAGGCAACTGACCCTGGGTTGAGTTACAGTCCCTCCCTTTAGCTGGTGCTGTTTTTCAGGATCCAAAGGCAAAAGCAGAGCTGTCAAGGACAGCTGTGAGAGATCAGTGCACTGGTTTGTTCAATACATCCAGAGGGGACAAGTGTCCAAGGGGACTATGTTATGCATCCACCAGTTTTTGGAGCAGCCTCATCCAGATTGGCAAAAGAGCAGACATGACTAATATGTACAACCAATGATACAAGGAGCCTGTGGGCCTCACGCCCACCACAGGGTGTCATGTTGGTGTTCCAACCACACATGGGCTATGACAAGCATACTGATCATGGCCAGGCTGTCTATCTTGAAGCTGGCCTGTGACCATGTGAAATATCAACCACCCATGAAGCTTGGCGCTGGCCAACTTGCTGTGCAGCTGTGCCCCCTTCAGACACATAGGAAGATAGCTTGGGCTATGGGAGAAAACACATTTATCTCATGAGGCCACTAGTAGAGGGTTTCAGCAGAACCCAGGCCATCCCAACTGGGAACACCCATGGACATGCCTCAGTTTGTGGCAAAGGCAGGAAGAGTGCAGTGGCCATGGCCTTCAGGGAGGGACTCAGGATGGGGTTGGCACCAAGAGCTTCCACACAGGATGATAAGCAGAGTTAGGAATGTGGGTGGCTACAGAGTGGGAGGGAGCAAGATGTATGTGATCAGTGAACAGGGAGGTGCACACAAAGGCGTTGGAAGAGTTGAGTATATTCTATAAATAGAAGAGAAGAGGATCTCTTCCCACGACTGGGGGAACCACTGTAGGGAAAATCAGGTTAGCCAGAGTTGTGTGGTGGAAAAAGGTAGGAGAAACATTTAATGAGACACCTGTTTGGTAAGAAATGTCCCCAGCAGCAGAGAACCCATAGACTTTCTAAAGTTCCCTAGAATTTAGATAGCAGTAGAATGAACTGAGCCTGAAAGACAAGAAATGAACTTGGAAAGACAGATGATAGATACTGTTCCTCAGGGAAACGCAGAGCACAACACATACCAAAAATCAGGACTCAGAAGTGTTGAATTATTTGTCAATTTCCTTCTTTGATTTACTCATTAACTAAATATTTAATGCAATGCAAATATTACATTGGGGTTGAAAAAATAATTCAGCTGCTAATATTTTTTTGTTTGGGCCATGTTTAGATGTGGATTGCTGTCTTACAATTTTAATGTTCTATGAACAATTGGTCAAGTCACAAGATGGTTATTATTTTGATAGGGCTGCAAACTGGGTAGTTTAAGCAAAAAAATGTATTTTTTCACAGCTCTGGAAGCTGGAAGTCCAATGTCAAGGTGTCGGCAATTTTGGTTCCTTCTGAGGACTGTGATGGCAGGATCCATTCTAGACCTCTATTTATGGCTTGAGATGGTCATCTTCTCCAAGTGACTTCATATCATTGTCCTTGTGTCCAAATTTCCCCCCTTTTGATAAGCACATGAGTCATGCTGGATTCAGATTCACTTGATTGACTTCACTCTAATATGATTCCTTCCACAACGATGCTATTTTCTACTTATGTTACTTTTTTTCTCTTTCTCTTTTAAAGATTGTACTTGGCAAGTCAAAGCAAATGATAGAAAGTTCCACGAACAACCTCATTTTATGAACACCAAGTTCTTCTGTGTTAAGGAAAGCAAATATGCGGTCAGTTGATTCCTAAATTATTTTTATTAAAGTCCAGTTTTTTACTGTCACTGTCATGCCTGCCAGCTTCATGTAACACCTGCCTCCCAGGTAACATCAGTCCGGGGCCATTAACAATTCTCATTAGTTCTATTGAATGTCATTTTTCCTGGAGGTGGGGGGGGACTACAACCAAACAAGAGAGAATTATGTGCATTAAAACTTGTGCAGAGCTCTGTTAAAATTATCTTATGAAAGATTATAAAGTATTGTTATGAAAGCCTTAAAAAGTGACAAGTAGGAAAGGAATTTAATATTTCCCCTTTCTTCTGCCCAGGATAGTTTTAGAGATTTTAAAGATATTTTCACCTAAAAATGCTTATTTCCTTTGAAATATGATAAAGAACACCTGTTAAGTATGGATTTAAATGTTGTAAGGGGTCTGTTTTAACTGTAACAAAGTACCACAACTGGGAAAGTTGGAACAACAGAAGTTTATTCTCTCATAGTTCAGGGGGTCAGATGTCCAAAGTCAAGGTGTTGGCCGGGTTGGATCCTTCTGGAGACACTCGGAATCAGTTCTATGCCTCTCCCACCTTCAGGTGGTTGCTCCCAATGCCTGGCTTTCCTTGATTTGTAGACACAGCACTCCAGTCCTGCCTCTTTCTCTAAGCGGTATTCTCCCTGTGTGTCTCTGTGCTCAAGTCCCGCACTTCTTCAAGGACACCAGTCTCTAACCTAGGGTTCATCCCATTCCAATTATGTCATCTTGATATAACTGCAAACAAGATCCTGTTAACAAGTACTAGGTTAGGATTTGAGCATATTTTGGGGTGGGATACAATCAATCCACAAGACTATCTTCTACTCTGTCTTACACAGTAGCTGCCACCCGCTCCCTAATAAATGTTCCTTTCCTGCTCTACTCTGTTGACATCCACCTTTCCCCCACGTGCTAAGAGGCTCTAATGGATGGAGGCACCTGACAGCGGGATCTGGGAGGTCACAGTCTGCTGACTATATCATATTACTCTCTCTGACATTGACTCCAAGAAGTCATTTTGAGCCTGGCTAGAATTAAAAGCTTAAAAGAAATCTTGGTATCCTTCCAACTGATAGATTACAGCTTTGGGTCACTATGGGCCATGGGACATAATGATTTTTGCAAATGTGTTTCCTTGATGACATCATTTGGAATGACTTTCTTATTTTTTTTTCCAACAGAATAATGCAATTAAAACATACAAGTACAACGCATTTACCTTTCTACCCATGAATTTGTTTGAGCAGTTTAAGAGAGCTGCCAACTCCTATTTCCTGGTTCTACTTATCTTACAGGTAATGCCCTTTGCTACCTGAAATCTGTGTGAACTCTGATGAGTCCGTAACATTTAAGTTTGCACATATAACGTGGACCTCTTGAAACTGTTTTATATCAACATCAGGGATTTCTACATAAGGGACCAGCACTTCATCCACAGAACCAGTCAGGGTTTGAGCAGGGAACAAGTGGAAATGCTATTTTAATTCTATTTATCAAAATTTGATTTTGTACTGATGTTAAAACTGTATCCCTAAAGTGAATAAAGCTAAAAATCTTCACTTTGTAGAATTATTTGCACCTTACAATTAAACCTATTTTTGTGTTTGTCCCTTATTTACTTTTTTGGTAGTACTGAGATTTGAACTCAGAGCCTTGTACTTGCTAGGCAAGCACTTTACCATTTGAGTCATACTCCCAGCCCTGTTTTTGCTTTAGTTTCCTTTTCTTGAGCTTTTGCCTGGGTTGGCCTCAGGCTGTGATCCTCCTACCTTTGCCTCTGGAGCAGTTGGGATTACAGGTGTGCACAACAATGCCTAGCTTTTGTCCCTTATTTTTGCCTAATTTCCCCACGAATATTATTGCCTTTCTTATGTTATTTTTGTGAGGTGGTTTTACATTAGAAAAGATCTTTTCTCATTTTTCTTTTTATTTAGTAAAAGATTCACTTATCTGGAGAGCAAGACTTTCATCTGTATAGGAACAGTTGCTATAATCAAAGGGACCCTACACATGTCAGTTAGGGCACAGATTCAACCTTTAGTACCTGATGTGCAGATCACAAAACATACCCACTTGACTTTATAAGATTGTGTACATCAAGGGTTGAATTTAGATATCAGTCCAACTGCTGGGATTTGCACAGTAAAGTTTTATAAAATGGTAGCGAGCATGTGTGTCAGGGATGGGGGGGTGAGGATGTGCAGAGTGGAGAGAAAAGGGGAAGGAGACACTAGGGAGAAGTGAATGCTTGACAGATTTGGTAGACTGGAACTGTTTCTTTGGTTGTGAAGGATGGTGGTGTTATCAAGGGCAGATGTTTAGACAGGCATGTGCAGAGGAGCACACTGGGAGTTATAGTATACTACGGTATGGTCAGTGGGCTACTTTGCCTTTACTTCCTTCTAGAGGGAAGAGGGGAGAGTCACACAGTTATGTTGTGGGCAGTGATCTGTTTTCTAACAAGTCCCAAGTACCTCCTCATAGGATGCAGCCATCTATGTTAGGGTAACAGTAATTAATAGACTCTGGCTATTTACCTGCCTTTACTTGCATCGTTACTCCCTGAACCCTGGTATTCTATGAGATAGGTACCAGCCTAACTCCCATTTTGCAAAGAAAAGCAGAGGCCTAAGAAGGTAAAGTAACTTGCTTGTGGTCCCAAAGCCTGTATGTACAGAGCTGGACAGGGCCAGATCCAGGAGCTTAACTTCAAAGAACCCTATGAGATGTGGCCCAGTGATCCGAAGGATGGTTACAAGATGTCTTTATTAAACTCACTTCCCAGTCTTCCTAATTGTCCATTCAAACTGGCAGGCTGCCTTCATGGAGGTGGAACTTACTCAGGCCAGCCCCTTCCTTGGCTGGACCAGCAGCAATGATCATGAAAGAAGGTGTACTCTCTTCAGGCTCCCCCAAAGGTGCTACCTAATCACTACCTTTTAGAGGCAGCCACCTCCTACTGCCAACTTTGCCTGCATCGTGGGACCCCCAGGAACCACGGGTTGAGCAACCTAGTATGTCCGGTTAAGAGTCACTTCCTCCCCCACCCCCACCCCACCGCCTTCAGTTAACTATGATTTTCACAGAAAATTCAGAGCAATTTCTCTTTGGGATATCATGTTCCAAAACCTCCTTGGTGTCCAGGTAGCATCACAACAAGATTATTTCAGGAGCCACTGTCCTCCCGGTCCTGTTCCAGGTGGCTAGAATGTAGAGAGTGGCACCAGAAAGAGGTTGGCTGGATGCCTAAATGCCTCGTCTGACATGTTCTGCAGGTTGTAGTTCTGTGTGATGATGGAAATTAGAATTCACAAGCTTAGAATTAGCAAACTAACCTGTAACTTCAATATGCCTTCCTGGGCACATATTTAAACCTTTTACATCATTCTGAGTGAGGTTAGCCTGGCTCAAAAAACCAAAAATCGTATGTTCTCCCTCATATGTGGACATTAGATCAAGGGCAAACACAACAATGGGATTGGACTTTGAGCACATGATAAAAGCGAGAGCACACAAGGGAGGGGTGAGGATAGGTAAGACACCTAAAAAACTAGCTAGCATTTGTTGCCCTTAATGCAGAGAAACTAAAGCAGATACCTTAAAAGCAACTGAGGCCAATAGGAAAAGGGGAACAGGTACTAGAGAAAAGGTGAGATCAAAAAGAATTAACCTAGAAGGTAACACCCACGCACAGGAAATCAATGTGAGTCAATGCCCTGTATAGCTATCCTTATCTCAACCAGCAAAAACCCTTGTTCCTTCCTATTATTGCTATACTCTCTCTACAACAAAATTAGAAATAAGGGCAAAATAGTTTCTGCTGGGTATTGAGGGGGGGGAGAGGGAGGGGGCAGAGTGGGTGGTAAGGTAGGGGTTGGGGGCAGGGGGGAGAAATGACCCAAGCCTTGTATGCACATATGAATAATAAAAGAAAAATGAAAAAAAAAAGAAAAAATAAACCTTTTCATTGCTTTTAGTCAATTCCTCAAATCTCCACCCTGGCATGGTACACCACTCTTGTGCCTCTACTTTTGGTGCTGGGCATCACTGCAATCAAAGACCTAGTGGACGACGTGGTAAGGAGTTCTCCTGCAACTTTCTACTCACTGGTCTGAGCGGACAATAGTTTGGCGTTAATACTTTGCATACTGAGATGATTAAAATGTTTCCTCATCTCCCTTCCAAAGGCTCGCCATAAAATGGATAAGGAAATCAACAATAGGACATGTGAAGTCATTAAGGATGGCAGGTACTTATGCTTTCTTCAACTGGTAATTTAGTTACAATGATGTCATGTGTAAAGATGTCTAGAAACACCCTAAGAGAGAACTATTAGATGGTAGAAGTCTATGAGTACATTAGCTCTTTAATTTCAAAGCACCTCGTAACTTCCAAAGACATCACATCACCTTCATGACCCCAGGGCTGTACACAATTGAGTGACTTGCCCTCACCAGCTGGGCACTTACATAACCCCTCCAGTGGGCTGCTTCCGCCTCTACCGCTCCCAAATCTGTCCCTTTTAGGGCTCTGCTCATGCAGGTCTTCTCCCCACCATGAACTGGCAAGACATTTTGTTTTCATATTATTATTATGTGAATTGTATTAGAATTCTTTGTGTAAGTGTCTCTCGTCCTGTCCTGGCTTTAAGTTTCTTGAGGACACTGTCATGACTCCAGCACACGGAAAGTGCTCAGTAATAATAAACATAGTGACCAAGGTAGCAATTCAGGGATCAGAAATGAGTTGCTTTTTGAATAAGAGCCTCAAGGCAGAACTGCAAACTCAAGTGCTAAAAATAGGTACTAAGGCTCAATTCAAAGACTTTTTAATGTGTCAACACTGAGAAAAATAACCTAATTTAAAGCCATACTTCCACTGCATCTATGAAAATAGATGTCATCAAGCTATTAATATGTTGACATGGCTTTTCCCCCCTTGCAAATGAGTGGATTCTGGTCTGGAAGTTCCCTTTGGAATTACTTCGAGCCAATATTATTAATGGTGATGAAATTCATAACCATCTCACATAACTCTGTTTAACATGCAGCATAGCTAATAACACTGGTAAAGAATAGGTCTGATTTGCCTTGAACTTGGAGTTGGCGATGCAGCTCCAGCAGGGCACAGGGACCTCTGCAAAGGAAATTGAAACATCACAGGGAATAAGCCAGCAGAATGGCCTCTGTTACTTCCAAAGAGTGGGGACAAGAGGTGTTAACATGTCCATTTGTCATTTGATAGTCACATGCATATTTATAAGTTATAATCTTAGGGATAATAAAATATGGACTGACTTTAATACCATTTATTGGAAGACAAACCAGGTCAAAAAAAAATCTTGGGGTTCAGAAATATGTGCTAAATTCTTATAAAATTAGGGAAACTATGTGTAAACATGTATTTAAAATGACTTTCAAATCTCCAGGTTTCTTTCATTCACAAATAGAAGGGAGAACAAACATGGTAATGAGAGTTTTGCCTCTAAAAAAATTAATGTGTTTCGTTATAGTGGGTTCACCGTGTTTGTTAGGTATATCTTTTGCATATGTGAAAATGTTTAAAACAAAGTTTTAAAACTTAAAAAAGTATTGATATGTTAGAAATTTAAATGTGTTTCCTATGGATATGGTCATCTCATTTTATTTTTCATTTTACCAATATCCTTATACACTTACTATAAAAGTGGTGTGTATTTATTAGGGAGATAATTTAAATAGGTCTAAAGCCTCATGAGGATTCTTGGTGGCCCATGGGGGAGCTATAATGTGTTCCTGTCCTGGGACCAGCACTGACCAAGTGATGGATGACAGAGAAGGAAGAGAACAGGAAAAGGGAAGGGTAGGAAAGGAAAGCAAGACAAGAGCAAAAACTGGTTTGGGGGTGGCAAATGTCTCCCTGCCACACATTGAAGTAGGCTCCGGTGAACGTTTCCTAATATGAGGTAGGATGGAAAGAACACAGTAAAGTCACTACATTAGTGACTCCTGGCCACTCATTGCGGTTACATCATTAAAATGGTCAGCTCCTAGCAAACCTTTTCCAGAATCTTTGACATCCAGGAAGCATGATAATTTCTTCATCTGAACCTTTAAAAAACCCAATAAACTCATTATTTTTAACACTTAGGTTCAAAATTACCAAGTGGAAAGATGTTAAAGTTGGAGATGTCATCCGACTGAAAAAGAATCATTTTATACCAGTAAGTGAACCAGTTCTGTCTCTTTCCTGCCTGTCCCCACCAACCTGTGCTCAGTTCATCCTGGAGTCTCTGTGTTATGCGTTCCTTTTGTTTTGAGCAGGCTGACATTCTGCTGCTGTCCAGCTCTGAACCTAACAGCCTCTGCTACGTGGAGACAGCTGAGCTAGATGGGTGAGTGTGGCACAGATAAGCCTATCTGGTTCAAAGCTGGCTTTGGGTGACACTTTCATTGCACTGGGATCTGCACATTCCAGGCAGCAAACCCTGAGATCTGGCCTTGCCTCTGCCCTTACTGGAGGTCCAACAGTGTCCCAAATGGAATGGCCTCTTTTCTTCCTCATTTATGGAGTTGGACTCCCATACCTGCCTTTCTCCACTCTTCAGGGACAGGGTATGCTTGCATCCCTTAAAAACTGCTGAGCAGTGGTGAGACCAAAAAGTATGACCAAGGATATTGTTATCTGTTGCAGAAAAAATTACAGGTTTTAAAAGTCTTTGCCAATAGGCAATTTTAAATTCTCCCTTTGTTGATTTTGGACTTTTCTGCTACTACCTAAAAGAGAATCAAGTTCTATTTTCCACCACTTTTTAATAGATTCAATGAGTGCTTACCAGGTTGTAGGCACTTTATGTGTTAGTTCATTTGATTGTTTAAACTACTCTATGAAATGAGCATTATTATCTGTAAGGAAACTGAGGCCCAGGAAGTTCAAGTAGCCTTCCCAAGGTCACACAGTAAGTGACAGTCGAGACCCTGTGACCTGTGCCCTTCTGTTCCTCATACTCTGGTGATATACACCCTACTTTATGCAGAGCTGAAATCTGGTGAGGGAAAAGTTGGCCTTTCCTTGCTCTACAGTGGTTGACAACTCAATCTTAGCAGTGAGACAGTTGTTAATCCCTTCAGGGAGAGAGTCCTACAAAGATGTGAATCCTAACATACCCAGTCAGAACAGAATGGTGAGCCCCTGGTCAGCTTCCTAATAGACAGAGATCCCTAAGTAGGCATTTGTGAAGCCTGTGAAGGGTGCCCACTGTGACAAGGCAGCCTCGCCCTCCAGAGCGTATGTCCTGGCCTGCTCTGCATGTGAACACCCAGTTACTTTCCTTTGTACTCGGGGTGGGGCAGGCCAAGTATTAGGGGTGAGGTTACCACTTCCTTTCTTGAATCCAATTATCTTTAAGAAACATGTGATCCAGTTATTCACTCTAGGAAATAAATTGGCAGAAGCAAAACAGAACGCCTATGATGAGTTTGTTTTACATTATCATTTTAGAATGGTGTAATATCAGAGGCTACTTTTTATTATTTATTTCATTTTTGTTGCTACTGGGGTTTGAACTCAGGGTCTTGCACTTGCTAAGAGGCACTCTTACCACTTGAGCCACTCCACCAACTCTAGAGGCTGCATTTTAAACAATGCTTTGGTAGACAAGTGAGTGGTGAGGTGTTCAGTTAAGGAGAAGGAGGCTGTGGATACCGTGTACTATCACAATAGCAAATGTGAAAGGGACCAGCACTTCCCAGGTCTGGAATTTTTCTCTAGGGGATAACCTTATCTAAATTCAGGCTTCCATAGTGAAGAAGCTGGATATGGGGGTACAGGCCTGTAATCCTGACTATGCAGGAAAGGGAGCTGGGCCGATCATAGCTGGAGGCCAGCCTAGTCAAAAAAGTTAGTGAAACTCTATCTCAGAAACAAACAAGCAAAAAACCCAAGTGGATGTGGCAATTCCTGCCTGTAATCCCAACTACTTGGGAAGCAGAAAGGAATGGATTACAGTCTGAGACCAGTTGCAGACAAAAGCATGAGACCCCACCTGAAAAACAACTAAAGCAAAAAAGGCAGGGGGCATGATAGAGTACCTGCCTCCAGTGAGACTCTGAGTTCAAACCCAAGTACCATCACCAAAAAAAAAGCAAGAAAAAAGAAAAAGAAATCTTCCATGGTGAACAGTTCAAAAATAGAACAAGTTCATGATTTAGCTTTCAATTTCCAGGAACCTCTTACTTTCTACAATTTTCTTTGTTCTGTTGAACTCCAAAACGTGCTCATTTAATTTTTTTCCCTCTCCCTTTAGGGAAACCAATTTAAAGTTCAAAATGGCACTGGAAATCACAGACCAATATCTCCAACGTGAAGATAACTTGGCAACATTTGATGGTTTGTCTGAAACAAGTCTTACTTTTAAATTTTAGTTGCTTGATTTAATCCCTGTTGATTAAAAGCAGAGAACCTTTCATACTTGGTGGATTATGTGAATGATATCTTTTTTTAAGGCTTTATTGAATGTGAAGAACCCAACAACCGGCTGGATAAGTTTTTGGGAACACTATTTTGGAGAAACAGAAGTTTTCCTTTGGATGCTGATAAAATTCTGTTGCGTGGCTGTGTGATTAGGAACACCGATATCTGTCATGGCTTGGTCATTTTTGCAGGTACTTTCAGAGTTTCTTGGAAAATTGATCTGCAGTGAGCCTGTGAGATTTAAAGGATGAAATAGCTTTTCTGTTCTTTTTCCATCAAAACTAAAGGAAGAGTAATTTATTGACGTGCTTGGTAATTGATTTGCCAGCTATTGATCACATGTAATTTACATTTTTAGGTGCTGACACTAAAATAATGAAGAACAGTGGGAAAACCAGATTTAAAAGAACTAAAATTGATTACCTGATGAACTACATGGTGTACACGGTACCTACTTTTCATTCCACTGGAGACTGCTGTCTTTTGCTCTAATTTTGTTGTAGGTTTTCCTAATGCAAAGAAATCGTACCTCTTAAGATGAAGTAGGGAAATACTTGGGTGTTCCAACTCCCAGTGGGAAATGAGGACATTCCCACACTTTTTCTCAGAAATCCCTCACTTCTAGTAAGAGAGAATCCCCTTGGGGAAGGTAATTTCAGTTGTGGGCTATCCCAAGTACTTTGATGGCTGGAAGTGGCCCATTACTGGATAAACTCGGGCTGGGCTCCTGAAGGCAATGCAGGGTACATTTATTACTGTTGGCTTCCCATAGGAGCAATGTTCATAAATATAACACCTTTTTTGGAGGAGGTCTGCAACGTATACAAATATCATAAATATACATATACAAATGTATAAATGCAAACAGAAGGCAAGGCTAAAAATAAGGTATGTCGAGGGTCTTCAATATCATGTCCAGGTTTGAGGGTAGACCAGGAGGACTCAGAGGATTTACCATACAGTGGTACTCATGACTGTGACTTATTATGGCCAAAAGATACAAGGCAAGATCAGCAAAAATCACATAGGGCAAAGACAGACAAAATCAGGTATAAGCTCCCAAGAGGCCTCTCCTGGTGGAGTCACACGCAAGGCACAAAAACAATGATTTATGACAACACATTCGTAATATCTTCCAGAGAAGCTTATTAGAGATGCTCACCCAGGATTTTTAACTGGGGGCTGGTCATATAGGCACCATCTGCCTGGCATATACCAAAATTCCAGACTTCCCAAAGGAATGTCTGTGATCAGCATCAACCATGTTGTTTACACAAGGTTAGGCACCATGAGCCCTCTTATCAAAGAATAAAAATTAAGGAACTAGGAAATCCTCCCAAATCTAAGTTTCCAAATGGCAGCCAAGGGCCAGCCTTGCAAGCAGACTGAAGGACAGCAGCCTTCTCTGGCCTTCTGTTTAGGTCTTTTCTGCACATAGGTGACCCTAAATATTAAGCAGTCCTCTGACGTCTTAATGAGAGTTACTTTTCAAATATTTGGTTCAATTTGATTATGTAAATTCTTAGGAACTTATAATAATTATAATTCTTTAATTGCACATACATATTTAAAACAATCTAAAAGTAATATAGTAATTTAAAGGAAAGCTCTTTTTTCCCTTGCTCTTGCATTTCAGCAAGTTTTAGTTGAACTTGGAACATTCGTTGTTAGTGCCAGAGTCATGGTCCTGACTAGATCACTCACAAGGAGTGCTAAGTTGTTTTGAGAACTTTGAATTTGTCTCTGAAACATTTATTCTCATTCCAACTACACAAACACAACTAGGACAACTGACTTTTTCACTTGTCCTGTAAGTACATAGCCATCAATTCCACAACTTACTGTATTGTTTCTTAAACAATCCTGTTTACAATGCCATGTATTCTTTATGACATTGTCCCTTCAGGAATAATCACCCAAATATGGGTGAGGTTTCTCTGCCTTTAAAAAAAAAAAATTTCCAAGTCAGAGGTGGTACACCACACCTATAATCCCAGCACTCCTGAGGCTGAGGCAAAGGACTGAGAGTTTGAGACCAGCCTGGGCTACATAACAAGACCGTGTTTCAAAAAGCAAAACGAACAAATGAAAAATTCCCATACGGTATTTTCTGTAAGCATCTCAATTCAGCATTGTTTGAAGTTCTTTCATGCTAGGGTAAGGAATCTTCTAGTTCAAAGTAAAAGTAATTGAACTGATGCCCTATAATATAAAAGTGTTTGAGGATTTGAGTATAAGATACTTTGTTTTGAAAGGGAATTTTATCATTTTATCAACAAAACCTTACTTTATACATGTAATATACAATAAACCAATCAAATACATTTTCAAACATTCTTATAGTCTTGTTTTATGTTGAGTGTATTATTTTTATAGGCTATTAAATCGTCACGAACATGTAAAATAGTGAATAAGGTTTACTAGCCTCTGTGAAATGCATGAGGTTGGAAACCCATCTTTGGAATACATTGAAATTCCTATCTTCTAGATCTTCATTGTTCTCATCCTGCTGTCTGCGGGCCTTGCCATTGGCCACGCTTATTGGGAAGCTCAAGTTGGCAATTGTTCTTGGTACCTGTATGATGGAGAAAATGCCACACCCTCCTACCGGGGATTTCTGAATTTCTGGGGCTACATCATTGTGCTGAACACCATGGTGCCCATCTCTCTGTATGTAAGGTAAGGCTATTCTCTCCTTGGTCTCTTGTCCTCAGGTAAGAATGTCTGTAGTATCTTTCCCCAACTTTGCACCTTCGTGTTTAATAATAACTGTTTCAAAGGTCAAAAGGAAGAAGTAAAAAAATAACTTGTATTTCAGAATTGAAGATAAGATAGGGAAAGGAAATGAACTTTTGAGTATCTCTCAGTGCCAGGCACCTTCTGTCTTGTCCTCTTTGCAGATAAAGCCATTGATAGTTCAAGGTCAAAGGCAATAGTCATTTGCTTGGTGAGATTTCTTCTCAGTGGGTTCCAAAACCCCAGGTTTCAAAAAGAGCCTGGGAGAAGGTGAAGATTTAGAATCTCATGGAACAACTTACCATGCTTTTTTACAAGCCTTCCTGTCTTATCTGACCCTGCCTTCTTACCATCTCCCATACCCATGCTCGCTTATGTAAGCACCAGCCTTTCCTGTTCCTGCTTTCTTTCAGGCTCTCAAAATCTATTTCTCATCTCAAGGTCAGTCTCAATCACAAGGAAAAGTCAAGATTATATCTCTGACAAGTGGCAATAGCCTTATTTGGTGAAGTTTCTTTCTCCCCCTTCCTTTTTTTTTCTTTCATATTAAAGTTCTCTGCCACTGGCCAGTTGGATTTTAACTTCTTGTGGGGAGGGAGGGTTGAGACTATGCCTTGGAATATACTAGTAACCAGAGTCAGCATTTAGTTCCAATAAATAATAGCTCAGAGACACTTGGGATCTCACACACACACCTATAATTAGAAGCATTTCTTTTATGTTAATTTTATTACATGTGCATTTGTTTTGGCTTTAATTTTATTACACTTAGTTATAGTTGTTCTTTTCCTGGGAAGGAAAGCCCTGGGGCTGCCATCTGTCCCACTTTAAAGGAAACTAAGAGTGATAATCCTCGTGAAAGAACTACTTACTATACAGATTTTGTGTAAACCTTTCAATGTATGTTACAAAATAAGTAGTAGACCATATGCCATTCAAGGTTAAAATTATGTCACAGGACTAACGTGATTCCTTAATTTCTCTTGGAGGTAAAGGTCCTTTGAAAGTCTAAGTCTTATCTAGTCATTCCAGACAGTGTCTCTGTTTTGCCTTCCTCTCCACAGTAGCTTTTGTTTCATTAAGAATAATTCAAGGCCATGGTATCACCTCCAAGCCCAGGGGTATCTGGGGCTCAGCACTCTATGTTTGACCTTCCTCCCACTCTTCAGCCCACCTCCCGGGCTCCTGCCACTCCAGGCACCTTGATGCTCCTCCCACCACAGGACCTTCATGCCTACTCTTATCTCTGCCAGGAGACATCTTCCCTAGGTAACTGCATGATGCTCTTTCATTTTCTTCAGGTCTTAGCTTAGACATCACCTTGTCACCCTGGCCTTTCCTTGTCACCCTATTTGGACCATCACTTCTCTTGCCTATTGGTCCCCATCTCCCTTTCACTGCTTTGATTTTCTGCAGATATGTCTAGCACCTGATAAAGGATGGATTTATTGGGTGTTTGCTCCTGCTAGCACCAGAAAGCAACCTACTTAAGGGCACAGATTTCATCCACTTTGTTTGCTGACCCCTAGAATGTACCTAAGATGGTGTTTGGTATCCAGTAGGACCTACGTATGAAGAGGAGAGAGTTATGTTCCCATCTTCGAAACTTGTTTTAAAGACATCCTTTGTGAACATCATATGTAAATAGCTGTGTTATAAATGAGACATATTAACCAAGTGTCATGGTGCATGTCTGTAATGCCAGTACTCGAGAGGCTGAGGCAGGAAGATCATGAGTTCCAGGCCAGTTTGGGCTACATAGCAAGACCCTGCCTTGACCTCCCCCCAAATTACTGAGACCTATTTAATTCCCCATAGTTTTAAAATCCAGATGATCCTTTTAGACTATTTTCTTTTGGACATTCTGTAACCTTATGAGAATTTAGAAAATAAATACACTTTTTAGCAGTGTGGCAACACAATTTAAGAGTTACATGGAAAAAGATTTTTGTCCTATTTGAGAGTACAGTGTGGTCTGTCACCTAGTGGACTATCATCCTCTTTGCCCTAAAATTGAGGGCAAAGGTGAAATCGGCCATTCCAGTTTTCCTTGGGCATGATGGGAAATGAGCGAAAAGAGAATAAAGATGGCTGTATCTGTAGTACCATCTGCAGTGTCACTGGGTCACACTCCCTAGGCTGTATGTCTTGAACATGGAACACCATGGCCTGATGTGCTCAGGAGTGAGTAGTGGGAAATTACACTGAGGGAACTTGAGTGATCTAAAGATAGCTTACCTTGAAGCTGGAGAGTGGCACATTTGGTCAGGAAAACTCAGAGGCTAAGCCACAGCGTGGCTTGTCTCCTTGACAGCGTCTTAATTTGTTTGGGTAGCTATAACAAAATACCTTAACCTGGGTGACCTATGGTAGCAATAGTAATTTATTGCTCACAGTTCTGGAGGCTGGGAAATCCAAGATCAAGGGCCAGTATATTTGGTATCTGGTAAGGGCCCATTTTCTGCTTCATAGATGGCACCTTCTTTCTGTGTCCTCACATGGAAGGAGGAGTAAACAAGCTCCCCCAGACCCCTTTTGTAAGGATACTAATACCACTCACAAGGGCTTTGTTCTCAGGATGGACCTAACCACCTTCAGAAGGCCTTACCTTGAATCAGTGGCATTGGCAATTAGGTTCCAATACTAACTTTCAGACCAAAGCAGTAGATGAGTGGATTCACTGTGACAAAATACCTGACATAAACAACTGAAAGGAGGAAAGATTTAGTTTGGCTCACAGTTTCAGATGAAGTATGTGGTTACGTGGCTCTGTGTTTCTGGGTCTGTGGTGAGGCAGAACTTCATGGCAGCCAAAACATATAGAGGAGGGGAAGGCTTTTCCCCTCATGGCAGACAGGAAGTGAAAAGAGGGAATATAGGAAGGGGCAAAACAGAGCTCTGAGGACACGCCCCCAGTGACTCCTTCCTCCAACTAGGCCCCACCTCCTACCTTCCACCACCTCCCAATAATGCTATGATATTATGAATCCATCATGGGATTAATCCATCGGTTAGGTCAGGGCCCTCAGGATGTGGACGGGCCCTGGTAGACACACATAGAGATGTGTTTTACTAATCTCCTAGGCATTTCTCAATCAAAAATTAAGTTGACTGTTAAGATGAACCATCACAATAATAACCATCACTCACTCCTGAACGCACCACTAGGATGAAATCAATGTCCTGTGACTTCCATCTCAGCACTCTGTAGAATGTAATCTTTTGTCTTCCTAGTGTGGAAGTGATTCGTCTGGGACAGAGTCATTTCATTAACTGGGACCTACAGATGTACTATGCTGAGAAGGACATGCCTGCAAAGGCAAGAACCACCACGCTGAACGAGCAGCTTGGGCAGATCCATTACATCTTCTCTGATAAGACGGGGACACTCACACAAAATATCATGACCTTTAAAAAATGCTGCATCAATGGACAAATCTATGGTGAGTGTAGGGAGAGGGAAAACTCATCCAGAGGTTTGCTTTTGCTTACTCCATTCAGATGTGTTTTGAGTCTGAAATAACAAAAGTGGTTGGCTATTGAATTACGGTAGAACTATCATTACTGGAGTCACAGGTACCCTCCCGGTGTGGAATCCTGCACCCGTGGGCATCACCAGTGCCAAGGGAGTATCGCAGAAATTGTTGGGAACACACACATGACAGGAGTCAACAATCAGAAATAGGCAATTGAAAACCCAATTGCCATGTACCGAGCAATTCACTTCTAGGAGTAGAACATACTCGAACAATTGGAAACAAGGACCCAAAGAGAGATTTGTACACCCATGTCCGTGGCAGCATTACTCACAATAGCCAGAGGGTGGAAACAACCCAAATGTCTATCAGTGGATGAATACCTATGCAAAATGTGGTGTGTACAGTGGAGGGTTATTCAGCCTTAGAAAGGAAGGGAATTCTGATCCATGTGACAATGTGACGAACCCTCAAGACATTGTGCAAAGTGAAATAAGCCAATCACAAAAAGGCGAATGTATGATGCCACTTAGAGTGGTCGAGCTCATAGAGGCAAAGTAGATTATTGGTTACTAGGTGCTGGGGTGAGGGGATAGGAAGCTAGTGTTTAATGCCTACAGAGTTTCAGTTATGCAAGATAAAAATAGTGTGGATGTAGACGGGGTGACGGTTGCAAAACCGTCTGAATGTACTTGGTGCCACAGAAAATGGTTACTTTTGCTTTATACTATTTCACACACAATTTTGGAGGGATAGGGAGCAGTACTGGTATTGAACCCAGGGCCCCACACTTGCTAGGCAAGAGCTCTACCGCTTGAGCCACACTCCGGTCCTTTTGCTTTGCTTTTTAGTTTGCTTTTCAGATAGAGTTTTGCACTTTTGCCCAGGCCAGCCTCAAATCACAATCCTGCTATATCCACCTCCTGAGTATCTGGGAATACAGCTGTGTAACACCAGGCTCGGCCCTTTACCACAATTTTTTGCAACGTTGATTTCTGTTCTAATTTTCTGAAACATACCTTACATTTATAAATAATATTAAGGTTAATACTGTATTCAAATAGAGTCCTTTAACTTTTAAATAGAGATAATACAATTTTTTTAAAAAGATAGGCCCATGCGTAGTCTTCCCACTCTCAGAAACTTTACACTGGGGATGTGTTTCCCTATCAGAGATGAAGATGGTACACTGAGGTATTAAGGAAGTGGTTCTCATGGTGGTGGCAGTCTTCTAGGAGGGTTAGCTAAAGCATTTCTAGGGACATGCTTCAGGTCTCGAAGGAGAGTATAGAGGGACAGGCACCAGTATTTGAACATCCAGACCAAGAGGTAGCAAACTTTTTCTTGTGAAGAGTCAGTAAATATCTTAGCTTTTGCAGGCCATTTTTGGCTTCTATCAAATATTCTTTATTTTAAATTTTTTCCAACTCTTAAAAGTGAAAACAATTCTTCACTCTGGCACCATGCAAAAATAGGCTATGGCCACCACACCATGTGCACAAAGTCAGGTAGGAGATGCCTCTGGTGCACGTGGACACTCAACTTGCTTTGCCCTTTTGTTTCTCAGGAGACTATCGAGATGCTGCTCAACATAGTCACAGCAAAATAGAGGTGAGTCCTTCAATATAAGGAATTATTTGGGTTCAGTTTCCTGGATGAATTACCACAAACTTGATGGCATGAGTAACAGTAATTTATTTTCTCAGTTTTGGAGGCCAAAGCCTGAAATCAAAGGGTTGACAGATTCATGCTCCCTCTGCAAATTCTAGGGTAGGATCCTTCCTGGCCTCTTCTGATGCTTGAGCAGTCCTTGGGGTTTGCTAGCTTGTAGTTGCAAGGCTGCCTTTTCTGCCTTCATTGTCACACGATGTTTTTCCCATGTGTCTGACTCTGAGTGCAAATTTTTCCTTTATAAGGACACCTGCCTTTCCATCCTGAATCCAGTATGGATGACTTGTAATCAAGTCAATATGACCCTTCAAAGACCCTATTTCCAAATAGGTTCCATTAGGCATTAGGGGACCTGTTAGGGGGACACAATTCAACCTACCATAGCATGCTTTTTGTCTTAAAGTACGTGTAAGCCTCTTAGTGTTTAAGTTAAGAATGTGCTAAAATCCTAAAATGACTTTTGCATAATTAAAAACTTGGCTTCAGAGAAAAGTTCATGTCACTTTTTAACCCAGATTTTCTTTTTAAAAAATCCTATTTTCTTTTCCATTTCCACTTCATTCAGCCAGTTGATTTCAGCTGGAATACATTTGCTGATGGGAAGCTTGCCTTTTATGACCACTATCTCATCGAGCAAATCCAGTCAGGGAAAGAGCCAGAAGTCCGGCACTTCTTCTTCTTGCTTGCAGTGTGCCACACAGTCATGGTGGACAGAAATGATGGTGAGTGTTTCGTGGCATCTCAGATATCGGAGGCCGGTTTTGTACTTCGCATGCGACTCATGGTTGTGACTCAGATGCGTACCAAGTGGTACATGATGAGTCTGTCTCACATTCACTCAAGCAATGAATCCTGGGGACACCTACCCCTGGGTCACATATGGAATAGCAAAACACAAAACAGGCTCCCTTCCTTCCTGTCCCCTCCCCTCCTCTCCCCTCCTCTCCCCTCCTCTCCCCTCCTCTTCGTTTCCTTTTCCTTCTTTCAATGCTAAGGACTGAAACCAAGGTCTTTGTCATGCTAGGCAAATGCTATACTACTGACCTATATCCCTAGGCCAAAGCAAGCTTCTTGTTTCCAAAGTTTTACAACTGATTCAGTTAAAACAAAGTGTTAAGATACGGTTGGTTCTTGCATTATGAAAGAAGAATCAAGATCTTTCTTCCATATTATTAATGTTTATTGGGAATGTAAAATCAGGCCAAATCTATATTAAAAGTAGACTTTAAACTTAATCTTTTCTACAAAATGATTTCAGAGATTTGCTTTTATTTTCCAGATTCAGCTATGTTTAGGGCTTGAAATTACATTGGCCAAAACCCGGATCTCCGTAAGGAGCATTTTTCATTGGACAGATCATAATTAATGGTTATTTGCATGGGAACAAGCAAGGATGGAGTTTAGGTTCCTTTGGGAGAATTCATAAGTCCAGTTTGTGCCAGCTTGGTTACAGCAGGCTTGTCCGATATCAATGGAGACTCGTTTCATTGCATGGGGACATATCAAATTGTATAGATGCACATGTACTTTGGAGAAAGAGCAAAAGGAAGTGTGCTGATGTAGTTCTAATGACACATTGACTTCACTTCATGTGTTGCTTGTTACTTCAGACGAGATCGGGAGTGTTCAGGGTGGTATGGCCGGAGACTTGCTTGTTACTTCAATCACTTAAGCACACGAAAGCCCCTCCTGATGAAGCCCCCTTGATGTGTCTGTCACATGTCACAGATAGGAAATCTGCAAAGAAGAAATATGCATAAAAATTAAATGAGTAGGACGTGTATATGATATCTTTCAGCAAGTTTCAAAGAAACCCATTCTCCAAGGATGAATCAAATAGTGCAATAAAGCAAGATAGCAGAGTTCAAACTGGGATGGGTCCTTGGGAGGGACCGTAAGTAGTACTGTGGGGAAGGATAGAAGGGAGCAAATTATCATGGGAGAGGTCAAAAAAGTCTGTTTGATTAGCCAAGCATATTTTACTTGTATAATAGGGATAGAGTGTGAACTTTTTTAATATACTGGTTCCCTTAGATTTTGATTCATTAGTACAACTGTTACTTTGTTGAGTGTTGGTGATATTTTGAGAGCAAATTGGCCAACTTAGGCAAATGTATGTTAATCTTAGAGTCTCTGTTTTTTTTCTCCCATTGGAATATTATTGTCAGAGTCCTGGACTGCATGCCAAAGATAAGCTAGCCAAGTTTTGGTCCCTCTCTGAGCACTAGCTTCCTCAGTGTTGTTGTAAAAAGTTGTGTGTTCAAAGTCCCTTCCAGCACAATGTTCTGCAGCAATTTGTCCCATCAGCTCAGTAAAGGGTACATCCCCAGGCGTCTTTCCTCCCCCAGTAGATGACAGTCACCCTAGTCTCTGAGAACAGAGACAAGTTGGATTTCTAGGTATAGGAAATTAGAGAACACATTGGTTTGATCCATGAAGAACAATGAAAGAGTCCCTTGGAAGAGACCTTGGGGACCACACCTCCAAATTTGATAGGTAAAGAAATTCAGACCTTGTCTGAAAGCACAGGACCTTGCCTGAAGTCATCTGGCAGGTACAAACTCATTCTAGTGCAGTCCTGTGCCATGCAGCTGCCCCTCTCTTCTACACTCACATTTACTCCTTCTGTAAGAATAATGGAAGCTGGGGATTTAACTGTGAGGAAGAATTCTTACCTAGCATGTGTAAGGCCCTGGGTTCAATCCCCAGGGAGGTGGGTAACCATAATAATGGAGATTGGGTTTTTTTATTGTGTATAACATCAATGAGAGAGGAAGGAATCCTTTCATATATGTGGCCATGAACATCTGACTTCCTCAACAATTTGCATGGTCTAAATGTTGAGCACACAAAGAGGGCCAAGCAAGAGAGACTTGCCTTAGTTTTTTGTTACTTGGTAATCAGCTAGTGCAATTGGGCACTCTGAAACACCTGCTTCTGAGCTCATGGTTCTCTAGGTCAAGAACATGAGTGTCAATGCTTCTCTGATCAGCATCTCACTAAAATCCAGGTTGGGCCATGTTCTCATCTGGAGCTTCAACCTCATGTGGTTGGGCTAGGATTCGGTTCTCTGTCATTGGAAGTCTGAAGTCCCCATTTCCCTGTGGGCTGTCAGCTGGGACTGCCCTCAGTCCTTGCCAATTGGTCCCTTTCATTTTCAAATTCAGTGGTAAAGAATTTCCCTTAAATTCGACCCCTTTCATGCTCGGAATCTCTTTTCAGACAGAGCCTGTCCCTAAGGGCACACCTAATTAGGATCAAATCATCTGGACAATCTCCCTGTCTTAAGTGTACTAATTAGGACCTAAATTATATCTGCAAAATCTCCTCATGGTAGCACCTAGGTTAGTGCTTGGTTGAACATCTGGCAGAAGGTGAATGGACACCACTTGGGGTGGAAATGCAGGGCCATCCACAGAGGTTTTCAAAGAGGCCACATGAGATCATGTTTGAAAGGCTTGGGAGCATTTCTCACCTAGAGGTCTTTAATCAGTAGTCAGAGAGTTTATTTTAGGAGTCTTCAGCATCACACCAGTTATGATATCCCAGGGCAGGGAAACCCTGGGGAAGCACTGTGGAGCCCGAGGGCACAGATTAGGGTGGAATCCTTGGGAAGAATGAGAAAGCCACTATTGTGGGAGATGTTTGGTAAATTATTTGAAGGAGATGTGATGAGGGAGAGGAAAGAGACTTCTGAACGTTAACTGTTTTCAGGGATGGTGACTAGCAGGTCCATGGTGTTGCTATCAGCTAGGAGAAGCAGGGAAGTCTGGATAATGAATGACCACAGGTGGCATTTGTGGTTTGAGCATCCTTTTTGTTCGTCTCACTTTCATGATCCACAGATTCATCTATAAAAGACAAGGTCTTTCTGGTTGCCTCTAAGTGCACAGTAAATACAGAATATTCTTTAAGGCATTGTTAGTTCACCTTTCTTCCTGCAAACACAAGATGAAGTTTGGATCAAGTCTCTGAAGTTCTTCCCTTTCCTATTAGTCTGCAAGTCTGTGGTTCTATTACTAGAATGTCATGGAAGGATTTTCTTTTTCCTTTAATGATAAAAATATCAAGGTCCTGGCTCCAGATAGAATTGTCTCACTCACAGAGACTTACCACCTCTTATTATTTTGTTCCTTTTTTTCCTGTTGGAAACAAGTTTGCTGTTGATTTTATGTAAAATATTCTCTGTCCAGCTAAAGTTGTGAAGGGATCAACTTTGTTCTCCATGCTGTTTGTTTAGCTCTGGGTAAACAGTTTGTCCTCTGGCACTTGTATGTTTGTAGAATGACTAGATTTAGCAAGTGTATTTATAACTTCTGGTGTATGAATTTCTGGATGAACAAACGGAAAGAGAGCCTTCAGTGTTGTGTCTCTAACTATCAGTTGGAAAATAATTAATACTAGCTTAAACCAAGCACAGTGGTGCATACCTATCGTCCGCCTACTCTGGAGGCTCAAGGCTGGAGGATGGTTTGAATCCAAGAATTCAAAACCAGCCAGAGGAACGTAGTGAGACCCCATGTCAAGATAAAAATGAAAATACTGACTTAATGAGACTGAATTATCTAAGCCAGCATAAAAAGAAAGGTGAGTAGGAAGGGGTGTTTAGTTCTACCTATAACTGTTCACCCTGAAGCATCCTACCTTTCTAAGTAAACTGAGGCAGGAAAGCTGCTCATCGACCCGTGCCCAGCGTCCTGGTCCCACAGTGTTGGAAAACAATGCCTCTGGCTATGGAAATACTTTTCTATTTTGAGGCAGAATAATTAGGGCGGGAAGTAGAAAGTTTTGGGTAGGGAGAGTATTTTTTTTTTAACTTTTTGTTGAAGTATAACATTGTACAGATGATATGTAGAGATCCATGTCTACATAGATATGTAGATTTATAAAACACACACACCCCATAAATCCCCCAAGCCCTTTTAGTGTTCACTTTCAGTCTCCATCCATGAAGGAAAAGTGTCTCCTGACTTCGACTACCATGGGTTAGCTTTGTCTGTGTTTTGGATTATATGAAGTGAATCCTATAGAACATGTACTTGTTGGTGTCTGGCTTCTTTCACTCAAGATTGTGAAATTTATTTATTGTTGAAATATAGCTGTGAATAGAAGACAGTTTCCCATTACTTAACTTTAAAAATCAAGATTCTGGGGCTATGCATGGTAACCCACATATATCAGTATAGCTACTTGGGAGGCAGAGATGGGAGGGTCACAGTTTGAGGCCAACCCAGGCAAGAAATGCCTGTAATCTCAGCTACTCAGGAAGCAGAGATAGGTAGATCACAGACTAAAGCTGGTCCCAGGAAAAAGCTCAAGACCCTATTTGAAAAATAACTAAGCAAAAGGACTGGGAGTATAGCTCAAGAGGCAGATCACCAACCAACCAATCAATCAACCAATCAATCAACATACTGATCAAATTGAGAAAATTTTTAATGAAAATATCACTGTGGTAAAGTAAGCACACTCTTTTAGAGGTAATATAAAGTAGTGCAACCCTTTTGGAAAACAAATTAGTAATACATATCAGTGGTCTTAAAAGTGTTCACTGTAGGGCTGGGGGGTGGATAGGGATGTAGCTCAGTGGTGGAGCACTTGCCTAACATGCATGAGGCCTGTGTTCAATCAGTGTTCTCTTGCTTAGTATTTTCTCTACTAGGAATCTGTCCTGAAAAAGTAGAGAGAAAAATCTTTGCATGTCGAAGGTTATTACAATGTTATTTTTGAGAGCCAAAAACTTTGGAAGGAAACCAAATGCCTATAAAGGAAAACAGTAACACATTTACATTCATTAAAATAATGTTTATGAAGAGTCTTTAAAGATATGGCACATGCTCCAAATATAACAATAATCTGGATATAAATGTCTGTCAGCATGATAGACATTCTTCCAGAAATCAGCACTTTATAAAGGAGTAGAAGGAATGGTAAAATGTCAACGTGTTGCTTTCTTCTTCACAATGGAGTTATGGGAAGTGTTTCCGTATTCCTGGCCAGCTGTTTTATTTTCAGTTCCTATTCACTATCACTTACAATTCAAAATAAAAGTCTAAAGTTTAAGAGGTTTTCGCTTTGGGATAGTCCTTAAGAGACATCAACTGGTTTACTCTGGGATATGCTACAGAAGACTCCAACTGAGAACACAGGGATGACCTCTGTGCTGTTTCATAGCTGCTCTGGGATTTCTCTCCCCCTTCCCTCCTCAGGTCAGATCAACTACCAGGCAGCCTCTCCCGATGAAGGTGCCCTGGTCAACGCCGCCAGGAACTTTGGTTTTGCCTTCCTCGCCAGGACACAGAACACTATCACCATCAGCGAGCTGGGCACCGAAAGAACCTATAGCGTTCTTGCCATCTTAGACTTCAACAGTGACCGGAAGCGGATGTCTATAATTGGTAGGTCACCCTCACACCCTGTCTGTGAGTCATTCAATTCAATGTTCCCTTTCTCCCTTCTTATTTGTTTCACCAGTGTAAAGCAGATAATTTGGCTTTGAGGAGATTTACTAAAATTGGTGTTCTTTTTATTTCTCTCTCTATTCTTCACCATGCCCACTCCTCAAAGGGACAGCTTCAGAACATCTGAATCTTGTGACTGCTGTTGTCTAGTTCTCTAACCGTAAGATCTCCAGCTGCTGAATCTGCAGTGGCAGAAGCAACACACCCGTGGCAGCTGTGGGCAGCTTACTGTGCTGCCCAAGACATATTTTTTTTTTATTTTCTGAGTCCCAAAGAGAGGACTCAGAAGAATGAGTTTGTGCTTATGAATCACAGTCTCACCTCCAGCCACATTATTGACAGAAGCCACCAGGTGGGCAGGAGGATTGCTGCCTAGCTTTGAATTTTTTTCAGTTAGTAATTTGAAATAATTTCAAACTTACAGAAAAGTTGCAATGATGGTTTTAAGAACTCTTTCTCGTGTATCCTTTAATATCCACCAACTGTTAATATTTGCCACATTTTGTCAACTAACTTCATTATATATAGGTTAGTATCTTTAGAACTATTCGACAATAAATTAAAGGCCTAATGCCCTTTCCCCTAAATACATTAGTAGGTATTTTTTAATTTATTTTGGGTTTTTTTTGGTGGTACTGGGGTTTGAACTCAGGGCTTCATGCTTGTTAGACAGACCTTGAGCCACTCTGCCAGACCTTTTTTGTGTTCTCAAGATAGTATCTCTCTAACTATTTGCCTGAGCTGGCCTTGGCCTTGAACCGTGACTCTCCTGATCACTGCCTTCTGAGCAGCTATGTTTACAGGCGTGAACCACCGGTGCTTGGCAGTAGGCATCTTTTAAGAACAAGACCCTTGCCAGGCACCGGTGGCTCACACCTATAATCCTAGCTACTCAGGAGGGCAGAGATCAAGAGGATCATGGTTCGAAGCCAGCCTGGGCAAATAGTTTGCAAGACCCTATCTCGAAAAAACCCTTCAAAAAAAAGGGCTGGTGCAGTGGCCCAAGGAGAAGGCCCTCAGTTCAAGCCCCAGTACTGCAAAAAAGAAAAAAAAAAAAGAAAGAAAAAGAACAGAACCTTCACACATACCACACACACATTGCATTATAGTAATCAGAATGAGAATTTTAACATGATTCAATATTATCATCTAATCTACAGAGTTTTTCAACTTTTATCAGGAAATTTTTTTCTAATTTTTTTACCCCTTCATCCCTTCTACCCCTCCATTTCTCCCTTTCTTCCTCTTTCCTTCCATCTGTAAGTTTTTCTGGTTCAGAGTCTAATCTAAGATCAAACATTATATTAGTTGATCACAACTCTGAATCAGAAGCGGTTCTTCAACTTTTAAAAAATTTTCATATGTTGGCATTTTTGAGAAGTATATTGTCAGTTATTTTGTAGAGTGTCCCTTAATCTGGGTTTGTCTGCTGTCCCCTCACGACTGGATTCCAGTTACGCATTGTTGTGAGAGCATAAGTGATGCCGTGCCCTTTCTCAAGTGTCCCATCCAGACGCACATGATGTTGGTTTGTGTCATTAATGACAATGTTCACTTTGGTCACTTGATTGAGGTGGTGTCCACAAGACTTCTTGATGGCATTGAATTTATATCTAATAGAAATACATAGGTTTAACTGTCTACTGAAGTCTCATTTGACTCAGTGCTCAGACACTGAGCTGGACTGATCAGCATGCCTGGTAGGTACCAGAAAGAACTTAAAAGTCAGTTAATGATGAGATATGTACTGCAATTAAATTTTTATACAGACTAAAAACAACAAGAAAATAGTCACGGGAGTCATGTTCCGGCCTGAGTATTAAAGGCAGTGAGTGTTACAGGTTCATTGGTAAGAAAGATTCCTGTTGGTGGATGTGGATGAAGAAATTTCTTTGGAAGAAATTAGCTAGCACAGGATATAGCCCATAGTAGGGAGTCCAAAAACTTGTTAAAAGGGTAAGTAAATAAGGATATGAAAAACTGATCTGACTCTGAAGGATTTTTTCCTATTTATTTCACTCCTATATTCAATGTGGACAGCAACTTACCAACTCTGTTGGAGGCAAAACTTCTAGGTACATTGATAATTTTAAGCCCATAGTGAATTATGTATACAGCAACACTTCAGTTAACTTTGTAAATGTAGTGTTCACTAAGAAATCAGGATTAACTTCATTGTGTGCTTTCCCTTCCCCTGCTACCAGTGAGAACCCCAGAAGGCAGTATCAGGCTGTATTGTAAAGGAGCCGACACTGTAATTTATGAACGGTTACATCAAATGAATCCTACAAAACAAGAGACACAAGATGCCCTGGATGTAAGTCTCTTTTTTGCTCTTTCTACTAAAGATTCTGATCTTAGTTCCTGGCCCTGTCTCTTAAATGCATGTGAAAGTTGCATGTCAACTTGCAACTTCCTTTGCTTTGGTGTCATTGGATGGAAACACCAAATAAAAACACAGTCATGTGGGTTCTAGTTCTACCCCTGCTGTTGACATCCCAGGAAATGACCATGGAGAGTCTGTTCCCAGCATCTGGGTCTGCAGGAAAGATGCAGAAGACCAGTGGCCTTGAGCAAACTATAACTATACTAAGCTATAGTCTTGTATCTCTATGGCCTCCAAGAACAACTCCAACTCTAGGTGTAAAGTGGAGGAAAGAAAACATTCTTATATGGCAGGTGATAACAGAGCAATGCCTTGGGTCACTGAGTTCTGACACCTGTTTGTACCCAGTTGGATCTTAATTGCTTCACAGCCTTCATTTTAGGAAGTAATGATGCAGCTACTAGAATGTTCCTGGAACTTGCTCTGTGAGAATTGCCCAGCAGTCATCATACTGTGTGTGATGATGGCAGTGAGGTATAGATGAGATCACTTAGAACTTGTGTCCCTGTTCTGCCTCTTAACTAGTTCTGTAAGAAGTGCATAGTGTATCATATGAATCATTATTCCTCATGTAAAAGATCAAGGGAAGAATTCCTACCATGGCAAGCATTGCAAGGGAGGCACCTTACACTTAGTAGGTACTTAATAAAGGGTGGTTTCTTCCCTTTATGAATCAATTGAGGGTAGAGGTATGGCTCAAGTAGTAGAGAACCTGCCTGCATGCCAAGGGCCAGACCCTGAATTCAACTCCCAATACCAACAAAAAAAGTCAATTGATGCCAGGTGTGGTGGAGCTTTTCTGTAATCCCAGCTACTAGAAAGGCAGAGATAGAAGGATCAAGGTCTAAAGCTAGCCCTGGCAAAAGTATCCCAATATCCTATCTTAAACTAAAAGTGAAGAGGCTGGGAGTATAGTCCTAGGACCCTGGGGATGCTTAGAAAATTAAAGTCTATTATAAAACAAAGATCAGTCCTTCTGTAGAACCCCATTTCCTGCTCTCTTTTTTAAATTCTCTTAGTATATTACTTCAAAGTAAGATTTCAAAATTTAAGCTACATAAAAGTAACTATTCATTGCATGGGCGGATTGTCTTTTAAATAAAACAGGTCTTCGCAAGTGAAACTCTTAGAACTTTGTGCCTTTGCTACAAGGAAATTGAAGAAAAAGAATTTGCAGAATGGAATAAAAAGTTCATGGCTGCCAGCGTGGCCACAACCAACCGGGACGAGGCTCTGGATAAAGTGTATGAGGAGATTGAGAAAGACTTAATTGTGAGTTTTAGCCTTAATACTTTTCCTTGGTAATCTAAACAGAACTGAAAATTTTATTAAGGTTTATTACATTTTTTTAGCTCATGTTTGAAATATAATTCTCACTTCAGCCTTTGGAATTGTGACAAAGGAACTACGTCATTTGAATTTATTTTATTCAGCAAGCAGAATCAAAGTTGCCATTGTAGAATCCAAGAGAGAGAATACGTTTGGAGAGGTTGTAATTCAATGGCATTATTTTTACATCACTTCATAAAATTCATTACGATTTTTACACATCAACAAACCAGTATTTATTTCATGTGAGAATTATTAAAATAGTTTATTTTAAAAAGATTCAAACAAAAACATGCCATTTCTAAATGAAATTTTTCAAAATGTAATACTCATTGCCTATAGAGTTTAGGTTAATGGAAACTGTTACAATAGCTAGTGTTGGTCTTTAGAGAACCTGGTTTATGGTAGCAGCAAATACACAATGAAAGCATATTTTTAATATCTTCGATTTTGGGCTTGCATTTTATGTCTTGGTAAATGAAATAGTTCATCTTTTAAGAACTACTTTGGTTTGTGGTGAGTCCACAACATGGCAGCCTTCCCTGACAATGGTGGCCATTGGCCCTGGTGGAGCACAATTAGCTCTACTTTTTAGAAGCTGGCAAATTATATTTAAAGACAAATTTTATTTGGTAATTCCTTTTTTTTTTTTTCCAAATGTCCATTCCAGCTCTTGGGAGCTACAGCTATTGAAGACAAGCTACAGGATGGTGTTCCAGAAACCATTTCAAAACTTGCAAAAGCTGACATTAAGATATGGGTGCTGACTGGAGACAAAAAGGGTAATTTATTGTGTGGGGAAGTGGGTCTCTGAAGTCACAAACACTGTAGCTGCTGTTTCCTCTGCCCAAGATCACCTCCTCAGACTTTCCAGCCTGTATAAACACTCGCTGGGTCTTTGGAAAGGAAATGCTTTTTTTTCTTAAACCCCCACACCCCCACTCCAGCCTGCACTAACCATGTCCTTCCCCAAACTCCCTCAGTGGCAGAGTTTATTCCTCATAGCATAGCTCCTGATTGTATCTTGCTGTTAAGTAGTCTTATCTCCCCAGCCAGATGTCTTTCTATTCTGAAAGGTCACCTCCCTTGTCCCTACTGTCTTTCTGGAACCTTGTCCCTTGTCAGGAACAGACTAGAACAATACAAAGTGCTGAACTATCACAACTTTTGGTTTCTTGACCATTTTATGGCTTGAATATTATGACTAAAATTTTATACCTGGAAAACTTTTTAGCATTTAAACTTAGAGCTCAGGGATTGGGAGTGCAGCTCAAGTGGTAGAGCTCCTGCCTAGCAAGTCAAGGCCCTGAGTTCAAATCCCAGTACCCAGTACCAAAAACTAAAAAAAAAGATAAAGTAAAAAAAAAACAACAACTAAGAAGCCGTTATTTGCCATTGACACATTCTCCACCAGCCTCCCTGAGGAAATCAGATAATATATCTTGCTCTGACATTGTCAATGGTTTACAAGCTTTGCCAAGGTAAGGGAAGCACCTTTAATAAATACCACTGGTGGGTAATGGAAAAAGGGAGAAGTATCTTCAGTTGGAGTCCCATGTGAGGGGCGAGTGGAAGTGGATATCCTTCCTCCCATTCTGTAACAGTGATTAAATCACAGGATCTGAGCAGGTTGTAGAGGTGTGTGTGCGAATAAAATTTTTTTGAGACAGGGTCTCACTATGTAGCCCAGGTGGTCTCAAACTCACAATCCTCCTGCCTCAGCCTCCTGAGTGCCGGGATTACAGGCACACACCAGCATGCCTGGCTTGTATTTTTGCTATTTTAATGAACACTGATTCATTAAGTAACCAATTTATATATTTGACAATACAGTGTACTTCATTATTAAAAACATCTCAAACCAGACTGATTCTCACTTAAGCTAAAGAATAAGAATTATACAATTTTTATTGCTACAGGAAAACAGCATATTTGGTTGAATCTGGTTATTTTCATGAATTGAAAAAAGAGTCAATATTATAAGTTGAGCATCCCTAATCTGAAAATCTAAAATGCAAAATATTCAAAATCTGAAACCTTCTGGACATTGACATGGTGCCACAAATAGAAAATTCCACACCTGACCTCGTGTGATAGGTCATGGTCACAGCACATGTGCACTAAAAATATTGTATGAAATTGTCTTCAGGTTATGTTTTTATGGCATATATGAAACATAAATGAACTTTGTGCTTAGATTTGGGTCCCATCCCTAAGATATCTCACTGTGTATGTGCAGATACTCCAAAATCCAAAATAATCCCCAAATCTCAAACACTTCTGATCCCAGCATTTCGGATAAGGGATACTCCACCTGTTGTAGAAAAAGTCAGCTGTTCAACTCAACCACAGAAATGACCTTTGACTTGACTTTATTTGTTGTAGAAACTGCTGAAAACATAGGATTTGCTTGTGAACTTCTGACAGAAGATACCACTATCTGCTATGGGGAAGATATAAAGTAAGTCACGGGCCCTCAGGATGAGACTGCAGTGCTCATTTTTGCAAAGTCAAGACTAGATGCAGAAGGCCATAGATAGGGGGAATCAGGGGCTAACATTTGTCACTTGGGACAGTCTCCTGAGGTTCAAGTGAAGCAAGAGCACAACAGGCAGGCCCGTGTCATCATGATTCTGCCCCTTTATGAGCAGATGGTAGTCCTAGGGGAGCCTGCGACCTTTGGGGGCCATTTTTCTCTATTCTTTAGCAATCCTGGCTGCTTGTTTGTTGAAAAAGAAAGTAAGCCTGTGATATCGCTAGCAAATTAATATGAGTTGTATTTATGTTTTGCCTTTTCTAGGGATTTGATCTTTTGAAAGAGAAATAGAAATAGGAGAAAAGTAAATAAGTGAGCCCTGTCCCAAAAGGAAAGTTGGAGTGGGTTACATTGTGGTGGTAGGTCACCTGTCATCTAGCTAGCATGGGCAGGTCTGATATTTCAAACCTTAGTGTTTGCTGGAACTTTCATTAACCCTGAATCAGAGTTTCAGCCAATCCGGAAGCATGTAATGGAAAAGCCCTGCCTTGTTACTGAACCTGTAAATGTTCTGCACACAGTTACCATGCTGTGTGGACTGATGGCTTACCAGTTCCATTTGTTCCTCAAGCATTTAGCTCACAACGCCTCTCAGGCTGACATCAGGTCAAATTGAGCTGTCAATAGACACAGTTGCCAGGTCTCCTCAGATGACCAGGGAGTTGACGGTGCTGATTAGTCTTCTTTCTAATGATGGATGATGATGCTTTGCAAGTGCTTCAAGTGTATTTGGCTAAATTAGACAAAAATAGTAGCCTTGCAGTCTCAATCAGTTCTGTTTGGATGGCACATAAACCCACACTTCTCTGTGCTCATAGGTTTTTAAAAGTAGCAGCAGACACCTAAGTGCTTACTGTGTTTACTTAAGTAGCTTTTGATTGCAAGTAATTTGTTTAGTTACCATATGGTTTTATTTATATTTCATAGATGGGGTCTTAATAAGTTTCTGGTCTTTCTTTTGAAAGAATTGGAAATGGGGCTGTAAGCTAAATTAAAAGGTAAAATTGAGGCAGAAGCAAATGTTATGGTCATGCTCCTAGCCAAGATGAATCCTGTCTCTAGGTGGTTCCTAAAATGATTCCTATAAAATGGTTTGAGGGCTGATGGAGTGGCTAAGTGGTAGAGTACTTTGTAGCAAGCATGAGGCCATGAGTTCAAATCCCAGTACCACCAAACAACAACAAAACCATTTGAATAGGTAACCTCATGATTTTTTCCCTTTCCATCCTCCTAATGATTTGACTTAATCATTCATTTTTAACTCACACATAAGAATTAAGTTAATGTGGAAGAGGGATAATAAATACCTAAACTTTCAAAGCAGATATTTTTAATGGGGTTGAGTTTGCATTCCAGAGATCATTTGCCAACATCTGCAAATATCTCTGGAGGTCACCACAGGGAAGGAGGAGGGCGCTACTGGCTTATTTAAATAATTCTAATGTGTACATCTTACAATAAGCAGCCACACACAACAGAGAATTATCTGGCCAAGACACCAATAGAACCAAGGCTGAGAGAGCTGCTTTCGCAGGTGAAGATTCACCTGTGTGCCCGTGGAGTGGGGAAAGCCCGAGCAGACCCACGTGGGTCCTTCTTCTAGTTTCCCCTCCGCATGCTCCAAGCAAACCACATCCCTTCTCTCTGGCTTGCTTTCCCATTTGTAACATGGAGAACTTGAACAAGGTATTTAAGGCTTCTTCCACTCTATAATTCCAAGGACTCATTTTTCCATCATGTGAAAGTGGTACCATAATTTGTTGAGAATTTTCAACAGCAGACATGGTTTTATTTATGTGGCCAAGGTGTTGTAATCCAGATCAAGACTACTTTTCCTCTTTGCTTCTGAACACACTGTCAACTGTCTTTCTTTGGCAAACAGTGAAGGACCAAGAACATGCACCTCCACTGTGGAAAAATCAAAACTTTGGAAGATTATATAAGCAAAAAACATGAGAAAACATTTTCCAAAAAGACACAGAAATGGATGACAAATATGCAGCAATGCTGTATCGCTAATCATTAGAGAAATGCAAATCAAAAATCACAATGAGATAGGACCTAGTATCTTTAGGATGGCTACCATCAAAAAAGATAAAAGAAAGAAAATTATCAGTACCAGTGGGGCTGTGGAGAAATTGGAACCCTTATGTACTATTGGTGGGAATGTAAAATGGTTCAGCCACTGTGGAAAATCATATGGAGCTTCCTCAAAAAAGTAAAAAAATAGAATTACTGTATGATTTGGCAATCTCACTTCTGGGTATTTACTCAAAAGGATTGAAAGCAAGATATTAAATATGTGCTCAACAGTGTTCAAAACAGTACTGTTCACAATAGACAAGAAGTAGGAGCAACCCAAGTTTCCATTAATATATGAATGGACACACAAAAAGTGGTATATTCATACAATGGAATATTATTTGCCCTTAAAAAGGAAAGAAATTATGATCTATGCTGTAATCTAGATGAATCTTGAGACCATTGTTAAGCCAGTCAGAAAAAGACAAATACTACATGATTCCATATATATGAAGTATCTGGAAAGGTCAGGTTCATAGAAACACAAAGTAGAACAGAGGTGACTAGAGACTTGGGAAGAAGGAGAGAGGGTGTGTTGTTTGTTTTGCGGTACTGGGGTTTGAACTCAGGGCCTTGTGCTTACTAAGCAGATGCTCTCCCCACTGAGCCATGTCCTCAGCAGGTGGTGTTATTTAATGCATATAGAGTTTGAGTTTTATACGATGAAAAACGTCTGGGAATTGGCTGCCCAAACAGTGTGAATATACTCAACACTACTGAATTATACACTTGACAGTGGGTATGATGGTAAACTCCATGCTGTGTTTTTAATCATAATTTTTTTAAATGTCACAATTATAGTCTAGGACCTTTTATGGTCTTGTGCTTTAAAATATTTAAATTTATTTTCTCCCAGTGCTCTTCTTCATACAAGAATGGAAAACCAGAGAAATAGAGGTGGAGTCTATGCAAGATTTGCACCCCCTGTGCACGAACCTTTTTTTCCACCTGGTGAAAATCGTGCCTTAATAATCACCGGTTCCTGGTTGGTATGTGTCGCTAGTGTGTGTGCACCCTTGACTCAAATGAAATGTGTTCATTTTGGACCAGCTTTAGATGCCGGTTTGGGTATTTTCATTACACAATGTAAGTTGAGCATCACTCATCCAAAAATCCAGACTATTCCAAAATGGGAAAGCTTGTGAGTAGTCCTCAAAAAATACCTTATGTATTTATTAACTGCCAACCTCAAAAATCTCTTACCTTTTAAATGCAAGTGGGATTTTCCAAGTTTTAGCCCTTATATTACAAGATATCTGAAAGGAATATCCAAAAAGTGGACATCCTGGTATATCAATTAATGGGTAACCTTCCTTATCTTCTTTGTATATTTTTGCATCTTCTAAATTTTTGCCATAAGCATGTTTTATAATCAGAACAATATACATAAATAGATTTTGGTGGGACTGGGCTTTGAACTCAGGGCTTTGTTCTTGCAAACAGGCACTCTACCACTTCAGCCAAACCTTCAGTCCTCTTTGCTCTTATAATCAGAACAATCTAATCAATGATGTAACAACGAACTGCCCTTCACACCAGTTAAGGCTTGGGTGTGGTGCTCTTGGTGTGAAAACTTAAGTGACTGCAATTCTCTCCCTCTCTGATTTCACAGAATGAAATTCTTCTAGAGAAAAAGACCAAGAGAAGTAAGATTCTGAAGCTGAAGTTCCCAAGGACAGAAGAAGAGAGACGGATGAGGACCCAAAGTAAGAGACGGCTCGAGGTTAAGAAGGAGCAGCAGCAAAAGAACTTTGTGGACCTGGCCTGTGAGTGCAGCGCTGTCATCTGCTGCCGTGTCACCCCCAAGCAGAAGGCCATGGTGGTGGACCTGGTGAAGCGGTACAAGAAGGCCATCACACTGGCCATTGGAGATGGGGCCAACGACGTGAACATGATCAAAAGTGAGTTGTCCACAGGCGACCCATGCGACCCATCTTGCTAGAGAGGAGAAACGACAGGAACGTTTGGTGGTAGTTGCTTCAGATTTCACTGCTGGGTTTTCACAAAGCAGACATTAATGAGGGCATGTGGCCATGCCTGTATCTGTGACTACCTCAGGAATCCTCCAGTCCACCCAGCAGGGGTGGGCAGGCCTGGCAGCTGTAGATGAGTTCTAGCTGGTGAATTTATCATCATTTGTTTCCTTTGTCATGTTTGGTGTGGTCCTTTCCCTCTGGCCAGTTCTTCTCCCCTATTTCTGTAGGCTTTATTAAAAACCCTGGTATTCGATAAGTTTTGCAGAAAACTCTACTGAGCTCAGCGTCAGTCGCTGACTCTGGTATTTGAGAATATTACTGACCCTCACGTGACATGCTTAGCTTTGAGGTGAAGTCCAACGCAGTCTCACCATCCCCCTGACCTCCCTAGAAGACTGCAAGGGTTGCTTGGCTGGTTAGACAGCCCTAGGTACTCCCCGCTGAAGGACTGAGTTTTTTTGCACAGAAATACAATGGTGCTAATATTATAGGATGCAGAACAAACCTGTGGTCCTCATCCGTGTGTCTGAGTCTGGTTCCTTTTTCCCCTGGATTATGATAAGGGGACCACAGGTGAAGTCTTTTAGGACCAGAACTTTTGATTTGGACAATTTGAACTGCTTTTACTTTTTTGAGTACTGCTCAACAACTTTTCCTACTTTGGAATAGTTTGGATTTTTGGATGAGATGCTCAACTCACATCATCTAATGAAAATATCCAAAGCAGGCCAGGTAGGGTGGCACACATCTATAATCCCAGCTATGTGGGAGGTGGAGATCGGAAGATTGTGGTTTGAGGCCAGCCCTGGCAAACCAATTAGGGAGACCCTACCTCAATAAACAAGCCAGAATGGTGGCTGGCTCATGCCTGTAATTCAAAGGAGGTGGAGGTAGGAGGATCAAAGTATGAGGCAAAAAAAGCAAGACCCTTATCTGAAAAATAAGCTAAAGCAAAAAGGACTGGAAGCATGTCTCAAGTGGTAGAAGGGCCTGAATTCTGTCTCCACTACCACAAAAACAAGGCAAAACCCCAAGGTAGTGGGACTTAAATATGTGTTCTCTTCCTATTGGGTCAGCAGGGGCTTTGGTTTGGGCCAGTTTTCTCAACGGAAAACAAGAGCATTCTCTCCAATGTCACCTCTAACTCTGCAATACGGTTTCCATTGCTAAGATGAATGACTGCATACTAGCTATAATCCTGTTGGGCTGGGTGGCTTAAGTGCATTATATACTTAAATATCTAGAATTTAATTCTGCCTATTTTGTGACTCATGAGTCCATCTCTCTCTTTTCTTAGAGCCTTCTTCTCCTTGGTATACACTAAGAATCTTCCACCTTTATCTTCCTCGACAGGAGTCATCTATATGACGTATGTCTTCTTCTTTTTTACCGTGTGTGTCTGTTGCCACTCCCAGTTGCATTCGCCACTGTTTTTTTGTGCTCACCCTACCATTCAGATGGCATTTCTTGCTCTGAATTACATCGCTTTCTTTCCTCTTAGCCAGTTCTTGTTTATTTTCCATTATACACCCTTAGCATAACTATAGCTACCTGTGCCAAAAGGGGGAGTAACTCAAACACTGTTTTCATTCATTACAATGTAGACTTCTAGATGTTGGGGAAGGGAAGAAGAAGGGGTGGCTTTCCTTGGAGACTTATCTTATGTGACTTAGACTTGTTTGTTCTTCTGAGCTCACCAAAGTCAGCGAGAGTAAAGTTACTATAGAGTAACCTTATAGAGGTTGTTTTAATTTTTTTAAGCTCTGTTATATACTGGTGCTTTTACATGTAACTTCTAGAGTATTCATTTGAAATTAAAACGTAGGAAACTGAGGTCTCCTTTGAAGTTATCCAAGTAATACTTGCTCCTTTTTGTACTTTATCAGAAACTTTCAGCCACATTGTGCACAATATACAGAAAAAGTGGAGTAGAATTCAGGTGTCAAAAGCTGTGCGTGTTCCTGTTCTAGCAGTGTAGTCTAGTGGAAATGGAAGGAGCTGTGACCACCTAGGTTTTACCCCTAGCAAGGAGGATGCACAGACTCCTTCAGGCACCTGTCTGCAGCTCTTCGGCTGCCTCCAGTTACCCTGTGGACTAGGGCAGTGTTCATTCCACACAGGGCGGGCCCTTGACCTACTCCATGAAGGGAATGAAGGCCTGGAAATCAGGGCCTAGGGATCTCAGCGTTTCCCTCTGTGGCTAGTTGGGAAAGGAAACGGTCATGGTTTGCCTTGGTAGGAAAGCAATTTGGCCACCACCTCTGGTCATAAGAACTATGTGTGTTTTGAAAAAGGGCAAAAATACTGAATCGGATACAATTTCTTCTATTTTTTAAAACTGCAAAGTGTGATTGAAAACATAGGTTTGGGCAAATTGCTACAATTACATTTTGAATTTTCTTGACTTTGTATTCCCCACTGGGGTGGGGGGGATTCTTGAAGTTTCTTGCTAGTTGGAACCTGCAGAGTCTGCAGCCACTTCTCGGCATCTGAGTAAACAGGAAGCTGTGTTCTCCCACACATTTTCTCTAAGTGATCCCACTATCGGTCTTTCTGGCGCTGACTTTGAAGACCTGGATAAAACTCCTAATTCTCTGACTTGAAAAGGAAGGATGAATAAAGTTGTGACTTTTTATCCATTCTGGAAAACTTCCTCCCTGCAAAAAATTATGTCTCAGAGCCAATGTGGATCACAAATACAAACTTTGAAAGCTGAAGAAGGTCTTAGTTAAAATTCTTTTGATTATAGGTATTGGAGGACAACCAAAGCTATCTTAAGAAAAAATACTAATTCATTACGCAAGATACAAAGATGCCTTGTGCTGCCCAAGAAGCCAGATTTTGAGGGCAGGACCTAGAGTTGCACTGTCTCTGTGTCTCTGTCTCTGTGTGTGTGTGTGTGTCTCTTTCTGTCTCTCTGTCTTTCTCTCCTACTCCATGTCTCCCTCTATTTTCTCTGCCTCTCAGAAGCCTGCAGAAAGAAATATATTCATTCTACACCTCAAGGATTTACATGGTGACATCCCAGAAACAAACACACCTGAATGCTAATTCCAGAATCCCAGGAGGGTCCCTGATTGTACATGGGTTTTTTTTATCAGTTAGGGTCAGTATAGGAAAGAGACCCTGGAGGCACTTTTAGCAAGAATGAATTAGACAGTGGACCAGGTGCTTTTGAAACTGAACAGACTGAAGAAGCAGGTTCTTGGCTGGGTCTTTAACCCCTGGGTCATTCACCAGAGGACCTTGTACCTTTGAGGTTCCTCTGCAGAGCTTCTCAGTGAGAAGCCTTGGTAGTGGCCTGTCAGCATCTGCGCAGCTGGAGAAAGGACACTGCTGCAGAAACACCAGAAAGGGAAGGGACGTTGGGCTCTGAGTCCCTGCTGCTTCCAAGTCACACGTAGGGGGCTAAACTGTGAAACCTAATTCACAAAGTCTGGGAAATGGAGGGGTTTTATTTTCTTTCCCTACTCTCCAATTAGAGCAAGGTGGAGTGAGAGCTGAGAGGACCAGTTTATAGTATCTGCCATATGGCTGACCCAGCTGTGGCCAAGGAGGCACAGGTGGGTGCCTGGGGCTCAGCTGTGGGTGAGAGGGACAGGCAGATAACCCAGGTGGACTGCACACCCACCCACCTGAGATCCTTTCACACATGTGGACGGAGGGTGGCCGTGCACTTGGTTTAGCAATTGTACCTGACTTGGTTACACTCAGAGCTGGGGGTGAGGGTGGTGAGCAGAGCATTTGTGTGCACTGTTCCACGGACACCACGTGTGTATGGGTCGTGAGGCTTTGCTTAAAAGCAGCTTGTGATCCACAGTCTCTTCTCCCTCTGCCCCACAGCTGCCCACATTGGGGTCGGAATAAGTGGACAAGAAGGAATGCAAGCCGTCATGGCCAGTGACTATTCCTTCGCTCAGTTCAGGTATCTGCAGAGGCTGCTGCTGGTGCACGGCCGCTGGTCTTACATTCGGATGTGCAAGTTCCTGCGCTACTTCTTCTATAAAAACTTCGCGTTTACCTTGGTTCACTTCTGGTACTCCTTCTTCAATGGCTACTCAGCACAGGTAATAGAGCACCACCATCTAAAAATCACTTGGTGTTGAGTAGAGCTCTTATGTTAATAAAACAAGTTTGTTTCTTTCCTGTGGATTTATAGTTTGGGTTCTGTATTTCCTTGTAGTTGAGGGCATAATTAAGGCTATAGCTTACTTTTCTAGAATAGTCCTAGGGCTTTAAAAATATTTTTATTTACCTTAAGAGAATTTGCTTATACATTTTTCTCTTCATTTTTTTTTCTTTTTCTTCTCCATTTTAATTTTTTCATGTTATCTTGCTATTAAAATAGTGGTAGCAAATTATTCAAGTGTGAAAGAATAAGATTTTATTTGACTGAGACTAAACAGATTATAAAAATTATGAACGAAGGCTGGGAAGGTGGTATATACTGTAATCCCAGCTACTTGGGAGGTAGCAATCAGGAGGTTCACAGTTTAAGGCCAGCCCTGACAAAAAAGTTTGCAAGACCCAATATTAACCAACAAGCCAGGCATTGTGGATCACATCTGTAATCCCAACTATGCAGGAAGAACAGGTAGGAGAATCACAGTCTGAGGCAAGGCAAAAAATGCAATACCCTATCTGAAAAATAACTAAAACAAAAAGAAGTGGAGGCATGCTCAAGTGGTAGAGTACCTGCCTAGCAAGCTCTGGGCCCTCAGTTCAAACCCCAGTGCTGAAAAAAGAAAGAAAGAGAAAGAGAGAGAGAGAGAGACAGAGAGAGACAGAGAGAGAGAGAGACAGAGAAAGGAAGGAAGGAAGAAAGAAAGAAATTATCAATGGTGACAGATCTCTTATACATCCATCTGTGAGTACATATTGAAATGGGGAGTACATATTGAGTGTGTTAAAATGGTCATGCAGCAGGAAAATCTCATTAGTGAAAAGTGAACGTACGTCAGTGGTCATGGTTATCGAACTTTCAATGCTGCTGTGCTGTGGGATAGAAGGAGTCTCAGGCTAAAGGCCAGGACAGCGTTGGAGCAGGGCTGGGGCCGTCCTCCTGAACTCCTGGTCCCCAGGAAGCCCGTTTCCTCAGTCCCACCCTGAGAGATGATGTGGGCACAGGGCTCTTTGTCCCTTGCAGAAGCATATTTTTATACTCAGCCAGATTCTGTTGTAAAAAAATGTGTTTTTGAAAACACTGGCTTTGCAAAATAAAAGTAAACACAAAACTTGAATAGTACTTATCCAAGCTTCTGAAACAGTTTTACTTAGGTATTAAAAAACTTTTAAGCATTCTAATTCATAAATAAAGGGTATGAAAACACTGAACACTAACTCATTCTCTAGCTTTACCAGTCAGAATGGTCTTTTACCAAAACCTTTTGGGAGCATTACCCCCACACCATTTCGGGGGGGGCAGTGTTTCTGTGGACCCTTCTGTGATTCTGTCCATTCCACAGAAGCAAACTGCAGTTGTTCAGATGTAGATGAAGCCTGTTTATTCAGGCAAGAGAAGTCCCCACTCAACTGGGGATGGTCCTGCGACATCTTTGTATGTGACACACAGCCTCTGTCATCCCCTTGCAGACTGCATACGAGGACTGGTTCATCACGCTGTACAATGTGCTATACTCCAGCCTGCCGGTGCTCCTCATGGGGCTGCTTGACCAGGTAGGAGCCAGGTGGGGGCTCTGGACACAGCATGGCCTGCTGGAGGGGTCACTGCAGACCTGCCATGCATGCTTCTGGCTATGCTTCCCCCTGAGTGAGCCTTAGCCATCTGCTGTCAGGCCACAACTACCATGTGTCATATGCAGTACTAAGAAAAGAGGATTTCTGTCTGGATTGAATTGTCATTGACACCTGAGAGCTGAGGATATCTGTATATCAATAATCTACTCACTTAAAAGTAAATTTTAACATTCTCCAAAGTTTATGTGCTTAATTCTGAAGAATCAAGCTGCATTTTATCTAACAGAAATTCTTAGAGAAAGTGCTTTAATCAATAAAAAGATAATTAAGGATTAACATTTCAAGTTGTATGTGAGCATTCTCCTCCCCCACATTTGAAATATATTATCTCAGAAGGAAAAACATCATTAGCTTCCCTACATATTTTGACATTGCTAATTTATTTCCTTTCTATACGTAGCAAAATAATAAAGTCCTGCTTAGCCCTTCTCTGAATTAAGTATTAAATAACAGTGGTCTAAAACCATGAACTTGATCCCTGTGCCTGAGAAATACTGTGGGACTTGCCATCTCCAGTGGGTTGCAACTTTGTGAGGTGTAGACTGTGATGGATCTGACGTCTTTGACCTGATGGATCAGAAGACATCACTCTAACTTTGTCTCCCCTTCAGGACGTAAGTGACAAACTGAGCCTCCGCTTCCCCGGCTTGTACGTAGTGGGACAAAGGGATTTACTGTTCAACTACAAGCGATTCTTTGTCAGTTTGTTGCATGGGATCTTGACGTCGATGGTCCTCTTCTTCATACCTTTTGGAGCGTATCTGCAAACCGTGGGACAGGATGGAGAGGCGCCTTCCGACTACCAGTCTTTTGCTGTCACCGTTGCCTCTGCCCTTGTAATAACAGTCAATTTCCAGGTGCGTGGCTTTTGTCCACTATATTTGGTGTTTGTCAGTGCTTGTATATCTGTGCTTAGGCTGGCAGGCACAGTCTGTTCTCTTTCCAATGAATCTCTGTTACTTCACAAAATAAGAATGCTATTTTATCCCTTACCCCAAACGTATCTCCTCTTTCTGTCTGGAGTCAAGCATAGTTTGGTTTCTGATTGTTTAATATTCAAGCCAAATCATGCCTAAATTACCAGATTCTATTTTCAGAATTCTGAGATCTTTTCTTTCTTGCTAACTCCCCAAAATGAGTGCCCTGTTTTTCTCTGGTTTCCCAACAGATTGGCTTGGACACATCTTACTGGACTTTCGTGAATGCTTTTTCAATCTTTGGAAGCATTGCACTTTATTTTGGCATCATGTTTGATTTTCATAGTGCGGGAATACACGTTCTCTTTCCAACTGCATTTCAATTTACAGGTAGGTGTTGTCTAAATTCCAGAAATAAATGCGCAGACCAATGCCATTATTTTAGATTCTGACATAACTTCTGGGTGAGAAAAAGTACACATAAAGGGTCAATTATTGCTAGTTGCTAGGGAAAATTAAAGTTCTGACTGGAAATTAGTGTTGGAAGAGTGTAAAACAGCTAAAATAACATTAAGATGCAATTGTGTAGGGCTGGTGGAGTAGCTCAAGTGGTAGAGCTCCTGCCTAGCAAACATGAGGCCCTGAGTTCAAACCCCAGTACCACCATACACAAAGATGCAATTGTACATCCATTCAGTTAGATAGCTTAAGGATTAAAAGGCTTGTAGGTAAAGCCTGCTCTTTCTCCCATAAAACTAATATTGGCAGGTTACTGGAAAGTTGAGAATACAAGTATCGCTGGTAGCTGTATAATATACTTTAAGCTTTCCAAAACACTATCTGAAAATGCACAATGGACCATAACCTTTTTTATACATTTTGATCAGGTATTTCTACTTGGGGAAAGTACTCTAAGATAAAATACTCTAAATTTTGGTAAAGTGACTTGTATGAAGACTGTATCACTATAACATTTCTAATTATTAGAAAAGAAAAAATGTGGAAATAGCTCAAAGACCTAAGAATAGTCATTAACTAATCAAAATATGAAATACCAATATGATGGAATCCTGGAACTCAAAATTTGGCTACAAGGTTGGAAATAATGTTTGTAGAGCAATAACTTAACTGATAGTAAGAAAATAGTTATGTGACCAATGATTACAACTATATGAAATATACGACAGATTGACAAATGCCAGAATGCAAACTGATAAGTATCAGAAATTTTGCTGTGTGTGTTTGTTTGTGTGTGTGTGTGTGTGTGTGTGTGTGTATGGATGTGTGTGTGCTGGGTGTGAACCCAGGGCTACTGCATGTTACACGTTTGCTCTACCAATGAGCTACACCCCAGTCCTAATTTTACATTTGTGATCAATGCATTGTGAACAAAGGCACTTTCTTTTTTCCTTATTTGTTTTGTTACATACATGTGCTTATTGCAAAGAACTGGCCCTGCTAATTCGGCTTTGCTTAGTCTGATTTTAAAATGCCCATTCCTTGAGCATGGAGTGATGGGCTATTTTGGGGAGGCTAATCTGTTTGTAAAACTTTACCACAGGTAACGTTGGTGGGTTGTGGATCAAAGGACCACTGTGATTCCTTCCCTGTCTTCTTTCCAGGCACAGCTTCCAATGCCCTGAGACAGCCTTATATCTGGCTGACCATCATCTTGACAGTTGCAGTGTGCTTATTACCTGTCGTTGCCACTCGTTTCTTGTCAATGACCATTTGGCCATCAGAAAGTGATAAGGTAAACAGAAATATAGTCGTCCCCTATCCCTGAGAGTCCCTCATAGAAATCACAGCATTTCCCAACACACCTAAGTCCATAGGAAGTTTGATTAAGAACGGTTTTTTGACTGTTTCTCTTTAACTCCATCTTTCTCAAAAAAGGGAACAGAAAGATGAACCCTTATCTTTTTATCCCTTCAATTTAACAATTACAATGTTAATATTTTGCCATGAAAATAGGGTTTTCTTTTTTCCTTTAAAGCAAAATGTCACCTCCTGTAGCAGGACTCTTTGAGCTATGAGCAACAGAAAGCTGCCACTCAAAATGTCTCAGCAGTAAAGCATCATGTCCACCTGCACAGTATTAGCAGGCTGAGGCTTGGCTGACTGACCAATTTACTATTGCCCCAAAGGGACTTGGGTTCCTTCCATGTCTCTCCTCTGAAGCTGGCATCATTATTGTTAGCTTCACCTTGTACTGGAGCATCACGTGTGACATGTCAATATCCCAGGGATCAGAAGGCTCTGACTGCTGCGTAGCTTTGCGCAGGATTCTGAGAACTTTTCTCCCTCCGATCTCATTTCCCAGAATTAGTCCCCTGGGGCTAAGGAAACCAGTGAGCCCCTGTCCCGTGAAGAGTGGTGCTGGGTGGAGGAGGGGCACTCGCCCCTGCACACATCAGTCTCCGCTGGCGAGGTCAGCAAGCCTCAGTGCGCCAGAGCGCTCTGGCGGTGACAAGGCCTGCGACAGTGCTGTCTTCTCTGGTTGTAGGGCTCTGGCATGTGACATGGCAAGCGCACTAGCTCAGCAAAGGGGGGATCCTGGTGTGCCCTTAGCGCCCGTCCCCTGCCCTCCTCGTCCTCACCCACGCGGGGCGGGCAGGCCCTGCTGGATCCGTTGATCCATGCCCTGACCGATGGTCACCCTGTCGCCCGTGCAGATCCAGAAGCACCGCAAGCGGCTGAAGGCGGAGGAGCAGTGGAAGCAGCGGCAGCGCGTGTTCCGGCGCGGGGCGTCGTCCCGGCGCTCGGCCTACGCCTTCTCGCACCAGCGCGGCTACGCCGACCTCATCTCCTCGGGGCGCAGCATCCGCAAGAAGCGCTCGCCGCTCGACGCCATCGTGGCGGACGGCGCGGCCGAGTACCGGCGCACCGAGCCCAGCTGAAGGCGGGGCCGCGGACACTCAGGACTTCCTCACGCATCTGCAGCCCGTAGCCTTTCTAAGAAGCCATGGCAAGGCCCAGGGAACTGTTGTCCGGCTGCTGATGGTCATCCGACCCAACGGGAACGTTTTCATCCAGTCCCAATCTAGGACAGCAGGATCAGAAAACGTCCCAAATCTCAGTTGGAACCATACCGCGTTGCAAAATTACAGTTCAGTTTTCCTGTCCGTGATCTTCAGCATGGATTTCCCGGAGCCTCTCCTCCTACCCCCCACCCCCCACTGACCACCCGTTAACAAGGATTTTTAAATTTAATGGTAATTACCAAAGATTCCTGAATGTTCATCGCCTGAAAACTAAGTGCTCTGATGACTTTTTCTAAGTTCGTAACAGGCTGCAATGGCTTCATGTTCGCAGGTTGGCTTAATTCAATCATGAAAAAGTAACTTCAGATTTCATACATGCACAGTACCAAGTTACATAGCACGTTACATATTTTTACATGTTTCAGCAACTTCCCCTAGGCACCAAGTGATCTGATCCCCTACTCTCATCATTTAAAAGCTGACATTACCAGCAGGTGCCCCGTTATATTTAGACAGGAGAAACTGGGTTTTGTTGCACAGTGGGGTAACTATAGATAATATTAATGTACTGTATATTTCAGAAATGCTAGAAGAAAGGATTTTGAATATTTTCACCAAAAAGAAATCATAAACGTTTGGAGAGAGCGACAAACTCTGATTTGAACATTACACAATTTGTGTGCATGCATACTGAAACATCACGAGGTGGGCGGCGGTGTAGCTCAGTGGTAGAGCACAAGCCTTGACTTCACGCTCAGTACCAAGAAAAAGAATGAAGCATCGCATGGTACCCCTACAATAATTGTGGCTCAATTAAAAATTACAAAAGAAAAGAATGCCTGCTGAAAACTTAGTGTGGCTCCCTTTGGAAGCTAGCACTATTTTGGATCCCTTCATTCTGTGTATGGGGGGGCGATTGGTCTTGGTTATCAAGTAAATGACAGATGACTGCTACATAGAACAGGTAAGAGGAACAGATCTAAAATCTAGGGGCTCCTTTAAGAGCTCTCCCTGATGCTGCCTGAGAACAAATGAAAGGTGGGGCAATAAATTAAAACAAACAAACCAAATCAGACACAAAACCCCTGAAGACATCAGTAGAGAGGAAAACCTGTTGTTGGGAGTCACATTTCTAAGCCAGAAGAACAGTGTATCCGTTAACTTTGAAGATAACTTTAGGCAATTATAGAAAATACCCTCCAAAAGGTAAAATGCTTGAACTTTATGTCCTTCATGTACTAGTTTTTTTTCTACACCCAGTAAGTGTGAGAAGTGTTTTCTGTCTCTCTGTCTCTCTCTGGTGATGTTGGGCAGTGATTCCCACCTTTACTGTTTTACGTCATTCCCTTTGAATTCTATAAGGAAATCACAATGTGTATATTTCATGTTCTATGATCCAGGACAGGAAAATTTAATTGTAATTCGTAATGCATTTTCTAGGTATGATAAAAAGAATGTGAGGCTATTCTATGGAAGTTAATTTCTGAAAGTTTACAACTTTTCTTTATCTTGTAAATAAACATAATTGTACATTTTTTTTTTACAAAAAGTTAGCTTGCATAATTTTGTCAGTTTCAAATTTCTCTCCCCTTTTTGAATTGTGGGAAAGGTTGATGATGCAAATGTGTCAAAGATTTACACTGTTGGGTGCAATATTAACAATTTTAAATACAAATTGCTTTGGATAAATTATTTCTATATGCTGTAAATCTGAGAGATTGAATGTATATTTTTATTTAAAAAATAAATGCTTTAGTAAAATCTTTGGAAAATATAATCTTTTAATATATATTTTAATGTTGTATAATACATATATTTTGCAGTGCTGGGGATTTAACCCTGGGACTCAGGCATACTAAGAAAGTACTCTACCTCTGAACTACACCCCCAGCCCTAAAATATTAAATTGGGGCTTTTTTATTTTGTTTTTAAGTATGGAGTGATAGGAGAATCTAGTCCTGTACAGTTAGTTACTCAAGGAACTCAGGGGTCCTGTGCAGGTGAGAAATAACACTAAGGCCAAGTGTTGGGGAGGTGTGACTAAAGGAAGTTATTAGATGTTGGAGGCAGAGACTGTAACTGCCCCAAAGATAGTGCATATTGTATATTCACTATATTTGAGAAGGGATAATTTTTCCAAATGACCTCAATCCTTTGGGTCCAGAATGAGAATGGGGAAGTAAGCAGATAGTTTGGAAAAACATGATGACGAGTTGGCAGAAAAATAAACAAAGAGGAATGAGTGAGGGAGTCGAAAGGGAGGAGAGCAGGGACGGAGGTGGGAGCCCAAAGTTTGAGGCTGAGGGAGGGTTAAAGGTGTCAACCTGGATACAGGGCAGATGGTTATTATCTGGTCAAAGGAGAAGCTATGATCTCACCGGGGAAGTGTGATTATGCCATGGACCTCTGTGGTCCTCTGTGCCACAGAGGTGGGACTTTCTGGGGGTATGATTCATAGCAGGTGACTAGAGGATATCAGTCTAATGGGGCTTGGGGTGGGAGCAGATGGGGCAGGTTATTAACTTCTGCAATAGATGTGGTATGGAAAGATTTCTGAGCAAACTTGGGAGAGTGTCCCTAAAAAACCTGAAGGTCACTTTTCCCTGCCATATACTGCATTAAAGTCGTTTGAAGGATATTTTCAGTCAAAGAGCACCACCTAAAGGTTCTCAGTGATACTCTGTACCAGAAACTGCTCAGGAATGACATCTGATGGTGATGAAATGATTCACAAGAGACGTCAATGCAAGGGCAAGATGTACTCCTAGTGGAACCTAAATATATTCCAACAGTTGCTACCTTCCTGTGATGTGAATGAAACTCAGGAGAACTGCAAATGCTTCTCAAACTAAACCTGCTAGAACACTATGGCTGCAATAATGCTTCTGGCACATTTACAAAAACAAAAAGGCCTGTCAAGATACTGAAGTACATCTCAGGAAGAGGTACAGGATGGGATGCTTAAAAATAAGCACTGTAAAAATGATTTTCTAGAATATATATTTCTCCAAAGAAGATACATAAATGGTCAATGAGCGTATGGAAGATGTTCGACATTACCAGCCATCAGAGAGGAACAAATCAAAGCCACATTTAGATACCACTGTGCACTCACTAGGATGGCCATAAAAATATTAGAAAATAAGGAAAGAAGTTAGAGCCCTCATTCATTGCTGGTGAGAATGTAATAAGGGAAGAAATTAGAGCCCTCATGCATTGCTGGTGCCGACACTGGGAAAAACTGTTTGGCAGGTCTTCAATAAGTTTAACGACTTACCATTTGAACCAGCAATTCCACTCTGAGGTGTATATACCCCAAAGAATTAGAAAGAGATGTTCAAACAAATACTTACACATGAATATTCATAGCAGCATATTTCTCAACAGCAAAAAAGTAGAAACAACCCAAACATCCATCAATAGATGGATCAATAAAATATGGCACACACACAATGAAATACTATTTGGTCATGAAAATGAATGGAGTGCTGATGCGTGATATAGCATGGATAAACCTTGAAATCACGTTAAGTAAAAGCAGCCAGACTCCAAAGGTCACCGTGGAACTGTTAATCTTCGTGTCAACTTGACTGAATTGAGATGCCTAGGAGATTAGCAAAGCACACCTCTGGTGTGTTTGTGACGGTGTTTCCACAGACTATTAGATCCTGAGGGTTCTGACCCCATCCCTCAATGGATTCATAATATGGACCCCTTAGGAGGTAGAAGGAGGGCAAAATTGGAGGAAGTAGGTCACTAGGGGTGTGTCCTTGGGGAATCTATCTTGCCCTGGCCCCTTGGTGTACGTGCTCCCTCTGCTTCCTGTATGCCATGAAGTGAATGACTTCCTCCACCACACTCACTGCCATGAGTCTCTGCCCAGGGCACACAGACAAACAACCAGAAATCAAACATTCTGAAACAGTGAGCCAAAATACACCCTTCCTCCCTGAAGTTGTTTCTGTTAGGCATTTGGTCACAATGACATAAAGCATTATAACTAATGCAACATATTTTACAATTCTATTTATGTGTCCAGAATACATTAATCCAAAGAGACAGAAAGGAGATTAGTGGTTGCCAGGGACTAGATAGAATGGGGAGTTAGTGCTTAGATGAGTGCGTCAGTCACGGTTCTTCAAAGAAATAGAACAAGTAAGACGTAGGTACACATACATACTGGTGTGTGTGTGTGTGTGTGTGTGTGTGTGTGCGTGTAAAGGGGGGGATACTGTGGGGCTTATAAATGTCTACAGCCAATAGGCTGAAATCCTGTCAGGAGTAAGGTTGAGTCTTGAATATGAAACCTGGAAACTTTCCTTTTCAGTATTCCTTCCTCCTTGAAGGCCTCAGCCAACTGATCCAAATGTTAGTACACCTTCATAGCAACATCTAGACTTGTTTGGCCACAAACACAGCATAGTTAAATTGACACAGAATTAACCACCACAATGTGTTTTGGGGATGATGCTTTGGATTTTAATCTACTTTCGATAAGTATAAAAGAAATCCAAGTCAAAATTATTTTGAAAGCCATCTTCACTTATCTACTTAATAAAAAGAAAATGTTTGCCTGAGCACCAGTAGCTCACACCTATAATCCAAGCTACTTAGGAGGCAGAGATCAGGAGAATCAGAGTTTGAAGCCAGTCCTGGACAAATAGCTCATAAGGCCCTATCTCAAAAATTCCCAAAACAAAAAAGGGCTGGTTAAGTAGCTGAAGTGGTAGAGTGCATGCCTAGCAAGCACGAGCCCATATCACCTTTTAAAAATAAAAAAAAGGAATACACTATTGAGGGTATGATAAAAATGGCCTCCTATTTTATTACTGACAGGAATATAAATTGATGAAACTCTGGAGAAGGCAATTTATCAACATTCATTACAATTTCCAGTTCATATACCATTTGACCCAGCAACCTCATTTCTCCAATTCATCCTGCAGAAGTATTTGCCCATCAGGGAAACAGCGTATATACATTCTGACTATAACAGAGACTAAGGGAATATAAGGAAATAGCTCCATGATTCATTGTGAAGTGAGA